CACGGGCCGAAAGTATCACACGCACACAGATCACTTCAATCCGAAGAGTCCCATTTTCAGCAACAAAGAGTACAGAGATATCGTCATTAGTGATATCGCTTTAGTTGCGTGGATCAGTTTCCTTGGATATCTGGCCTACGTCAACTCCGCCATGTGGTTACTCAAAGTCTACATCATCCCTTATCTTATTGTTAACTTCTGGCTAGTCTTCATAACGGATTTACAGCACTCTGACGCTGCCGTGCCGCATTACAGAGGTAAACAATGGAATTGGCTCAAAGGTGCTCTGTGTACAGTCGATCGTGATTACGGTATTTTGAATTATGTGTTTCACCATATCGGGGACACCCATATAGCGCATCATCTGTTCTCGTACATGCCACATTACCACGCGGTTGAGGCTACAAAGTACTTAAAGAAGGCCTTAGGTGAATATTATTACAGAGATGACACACCCATATTCAAAGCTATGTGGCTCACAGGAAGGTACTGTCGTTACGTAGACGACTCAGGTGACATTTTGTGGTATAAACATGACTAACAAAACCTCTTTTTCTTTGTGCCACCTTAAATGGTGTTTCCTTTAAAATTTATAGAGTCAATAGGACTGAATTACAAGATCTCACCAGGATATAGTGTATGATTGTACCGGGACACTAACAATATCGAGACACATAATTAAAAGAAAAGGTTATGGTCTTAGAAAGGGAAAATGCTTTTATATAGAAATCAATCTGGATAATTTGTGTGTGGATATTCAGGGACTGACAGGGTCTGGTGAAAGCAAATTGACCAAAACTTACTTTGCTACAAACGAATTTTTCTAACATTACTTCTCTCCGAGATTGTCACAGAATAGTCTATATTTGCGTTTGGAAAACACACAGGCTTGTTGGTCGAAGTATATGATACTTTGTTTGATTGGATAGATTACCAATGCTGTGAGTTAAAAGTGAATTAAATTTAGAAGGATAACAGAAACTTTTCAGCTATTTTATGTAAGATAAAAAAAGAGAGAATTGATTAACTCGATGCTTTAATTTTTTTAAAATCTTTAGTTTCTTCTAGTATTCCGTTGTTTGTGTCAAATAAACGTCAATTGCGGCCAACCTAAGCCTGGGACTCGATTCATAAATTTCTAAAGAAGTTTTTATAGAATATTGTAAATTAATGAATGTGTTTATATGTGTAAAAAGACTCTGTTGCAAATGTTTATTGTTAAAAAGTAATAACAAAGACGGCAATTGCTTTATGGTGCTGGTTCATTATCACCACCGGACATGATTATACATACTAAGTAGGATTTTGGTCATGTCAAAATAACTGAGTTGCGTCTGCGTGGGAGGCCAGCAGAAGAAATACTAAAGCCATGCTTACTCGAGTTTACTCAGACCAACTTATGCCTTTTCACCTAACGTGTGATCAGGCTTTTTTTTCTCTCTCTCTCTCTCCTTTTTTTTTTGTTAATAGAGATATCATGATCGCAAGCGAATCTTCACCTGTCACACGAAAATGTTATTTATTCGTTTACAAATTTTTACAAGTCACTGTCTCTTGGTTTTTCTTTCCGAGCGGCCGTGAGTGAACAGAAGCATCCCTTGCGCCTTTTTACAGGAGTTCATATAGAGAAACAAGCAGGAAAAGAGTTAACAAACAAAACAAAAAAGAGGAGACAGGGAAATGGCGAGAGAACGCGTTCTAACTAGTTCCTACTCCCTTCCCTCCTTTTTCGTTTTACGCTTCGTTTCTCTTTTTGTACCGCTTCCCCCAATCTGAACACCTGCAACAGGTTATAAACGTATACGATTGTATCTATGCGCAAACGCAATTGGACTGAACCGTGGATATGCACTAAAACCAGTCACGACACCTGCTTTTGCGCAAATTTTCTCACGTTGCGATGACTACGGGATTTAACATTACTTCTGTCTGACATTGTTGGCTAAGTTTGTTGTGATAGGCCAAAGTAACTGTATTTAGTTTCGGCTTAAAACATCTCACAACCTTTATATTTTGTTTTGTTATTGATATTAGCCCGTTGCCAGTGGCTCGCGACTCTAATCTCAAGGAGACAAATCAAAATAACAGCTGAAACTTGGCAGTTTTGAAACCAAAATATTTTGAGAAATTTTTTGAAAGATGCCCTGAAATATTCGATTGCGTGTTATGAGTAGTTAATTAATTTTTGTCAGAAGCTTTTACGTCTTAGCCTGTCATGCTTTAGAATTGAGCAAAGTCTATTTAAGTGACAAAGGTTCAACTGAGATCGTAGAAAAGTTCAAAGTTAACGTCAAAACCTGATTGCGCCTCTGCCCGAATCATACAGGAGTGAAGTTCGTCCGAAAAATTGTAAACTTTAATAAAATCTGGATATGCAAAACAACTGTTTATTAGAGTTAACTCCTAAGAGAAACATTTTTCATCCTTATTTACATTTGTAAGATTAAAAAGAAACAAAACTTTTCCGGTTCTAAGAAGAAAAAAGTGACTTTTTTTCCGGAATTTAAAATTCTCATTTTAATTCGCAAGCAGGTCAATATTCCGGTTAATTGTAAATAATAAAATGAATTCATAACCCTCAAAAGTCGTAACTGTAATTACTTCATACACCTCTAAGTAGGTTTATCAAACATTCGTCTTTGAAACAAAGGAGAATAAATTATGGCCCTATTACAAGCTGTTATTTAAACAGCCTACGCTAAAAATATCATTTCTCGAGGCAAAGAATACTGTGTTTTAATCATTAGACAGTAACTCAAAGTTTATCCCTCGCTGTATTGACGTTGTGTGAACTCAGTATGATAGAGCTTTAACCCAACTGAGATAAAATTATAGCTTTTAAAAGGACTGAACGGAAAGTCAGATTTCAAGGTTATTGCACGGGAAGTCAAACCAACAATCTCGTGGACTGACCTTTGATCCTTGGTATCTCCTTCTACTACGTTTTCGTCGACTGTATTCCCGAGACTGAAGGTAAGGACGCCTGAGTTTGTGGTGAAATTATAGCTTCAAAGCTCCTTCTCACTGACCATTATAAGGAGCAAATGATTTAGAAAATGTTTTGCTGAGGCGAAAAACACGACCGTTTTATAAGACCATTACCATCGAGTACAACACGAGTATAAAAGACACCACCAAAAACTGAAATAAATCAATAATCATTAGGTCGTTATCAATTTTAGAATCCCAGTAAGTTATCTAAAATTTTCCCTGAACTGTTGATGAAATATTAGGTTTAATGCATGTCCGTGATATGGTATACACAAGCGAATGGTTGCGCTATTGATTTGGGCAAATTACAGCGTGAAAGCCCTAACTAGTATCTGCACTTAACTATTAATACTTGTCGATCCTCGTTTTATCGGATACGCAAAAGATAACCAGCAGATACTCGTGCTGATTTTGGGTTCGCTTTAATCGAAACCAATTCGAGAAGCTTTAATTGCTAAAATCTTGATTAAACAATATTTTTATAAGCTACGCTTGGAACATTTGCGTGTTTCCCAGGGAATGCAAATATCTTTTCGACAGATTTTCCCTGTTCAACTTGTATGGATGTAAAATCAAGAGAATCGCACTTCCTTAAGGTGAACGGGTTAATTTCGTTCCCAAGATTCTCTCCAACGTGGGAACGAGTAGGATGAATGCCTGGATCAGGAATGCGACCATTATGAAGTCATGTGACATAATCAAGTCAAGTTAGCGCTTCAACAACGATAATCCGGCGTTTTTAAAAATCTTCACTCTGTTGACCGTTTTCAAAAACCTACACTTTTGGGGCCCGAAAACGCCGCTTACATGTTGACGGGGGACTAAAACGAAGAAAAAATATCTCAGTTTTTGAAAATTTCCGGATACGTGAGAATGGGCCCTGCACAGTTTGGCCATCCCAGCCATGCTATCTCCATTTATTGTACAGGACTATAGTTGAAAGTTTCAAAGTTTATGTGCCATTGCGAAACATCTCCATTTTTAATGCTAAAAGGTGTAGGATAATGATTATACAGAGTCAGCGTGCAAAGAAAGTCGCGTCCAATAGCCCAGGGCTTGCGGATTTTGCTACCGGGTTAGTGATTTTTGTTCTTAACTTGCCCTATGGGCAAGTGCTGTTTTTTGAGGAAGAAGGTTTGTAATCAATCCTGGTAATCAAAAAGGGTTTTGGGGCTAGTCGAAATGACTTGTGGGCTATTACATGCTAGCTACAGCTTGCCCGGATGACAGGCTGTAAAACTGACTTTCTCTGCACCCTGACTGAGTAGTCAAATCATGTTTTTCCCGGAAAAATCAAATCTCTCGTTTTACAGAGGATGTATATATCATCATCCTAGGGTCACTGACAATTTGATTTAGTTGAAAGTAAGTAACCGTGAAGAAGTCGAAAATTATTTCTACTCCATAGATTACCATTTTTATTGTCTTCCAGTAAAAATGAGATTCATTATTCTAGGTTGCTTATTGTTAGCTATCCAGTAAAGGAAACCAATCATTTAAAGTTGCTTGCTTTATCTCAACGACACTTCTAGCAACTGGGATTATTCACTATCATTGTAGTTATACCTCGCGATTTCATTCGGAAGACACTCAGCCGATAACCTCTTCTTTTGTTTTGCCAAGTAATGAACCCTCAAAGCATTATCTTATAGGAGATTAATGGCAATTTTATTTTTAGCTATCGTGGTGTTCAATCTTTACATAATATTTACTTTTTGTAAGGAGTAATCCAAAACGACAGCGTTTTACGTTGATACATGAAGCCCAAATATGGTCACTTCACCAATCACTGCGGATATTGATTTGCCCCGCAAACGGTGAAAACTTTATCCGTGTCAATCTTGTTAAGATTTGAATAAAGGTATTCTCGCGCTTGCTTTTATGTCATTAAAGTCGCCAAAAATAAATTATATTGTCCTTATGGAAAAGAAGACACTTACTTTCTGTCAATAACTGACAAAGCAATGTGTTAAGTTATTCATATTCAAAAGCAAATCCAGCGTAAAGCTGTCTCGCTCAACCGAAGAGCTGAAAGATTTGCAAACTTAAAGAGCAACAAAAATTACGTACAGTTTAAACTGAATAACTCTTCGAAGAAAAGGTAAGTCTTCACTATTATCCATGGCAACGTGAAATTGTTAGCGATTTTTCTACATCAACAGCGAAAATTTTCTGACAATAATCTTTTTCGCAAATTTTCTGACCAGTTGAAAGCAATTCAGGGCTTAGTATATGCACGAAAAGGTACAATTCAGTAGATTTATAATAACTATTCTCTTTTTCTAAGGATTGTTCAGTTTGAACATAACACATTAGATAGAATAACCTGGGGCAAACAGAATGAACATAGTGAAATATTTGTGACAGTTATCATCCCTATTAGTTGCATAATGTTTGAAGTTTGACTGAAAACGTTGTAAAAAAAATAATATCTTTAGGCTGTTAACCTGTTATGTTTTTAAACCTTGCCTCTTGTCGATATGCCTTATAATTTTGCCGTTTTTCCTCTATTTCCCGAAGTAAATTTGTCCTAAAATTTTCGGACGGAAACATTTTCGGATTTGCACATTTCTTTGTCCGAAAGTTTATCCGTCCAAACATTTTTAGCGTTCGTTAAATATGCATAATGAAACGGAAAAAGTAAGGTAAGAATCAGTACTATGAACCGAAACTTTCATTCTGTTCACTTGGAGATAATATTGGCATTAAATGTACTGATTTACTCGGCTGCCCTGTCGGCTCTGTTTAGAGGGCAATTGCACGCTTACAAGCTAGGAAAAGACGAGACAAAACATCGCAGAAGGCCAGCCATGCAAGACATTTACTTGGGTTTCTCGGGCACCAAGGTTTTACTTACAAATGATAAACTTAGATCTAGCATTTGAGGAGAAAGGAGCTGAGCGCATAATACAACTTTTCGTTTTCATAACGGCCAGATAATGTTATGGACGCAAAATGAATTTCAAAACTGTAATTGTTTGGCCCACTGTCGCGTCATTGTCGGTACCTCTGTCTTTAAAACAACAGAGTATACTTCCATCAAAAGCATTAGTCTGTGCGCATTAAGTCCAAAATGACAGAGAGACTATATTTGTCAGCTGTTTGATTAAAGACCTTTCAAAGTAGTATTTTCGTGTGGTAATTTTTAAAACTCGAATATGTATGGCTCTATATGGATCAAAGGTTGAAATTTCATTAACAGCCGATTAAGTTTCTTTTGCTTCCTGAGTAATGTACCGGTAGAAAAATGCTTGTTTCTAAAGCTGAAACTTGCCCATGAATATAGCAGGATCATTCAAAGACACTGTTACATAGGTTTCGTGTAAAAAAGATCTCAAGCACTCATTTCCCGTCGCGGTATACTATTGTTCATTATGCTGTTCTAAATGATTTAAAATCTTGTATCCTTTGATAAAACTATCGAAGTAGGTTGTTGTCAGTCAAAATTAATGAACGCTACTACCCAATCGGAGTATCAGTTATCGCAGAATTCCATCGATCCTGATCAGATTCATCTCGGGTTGTTCGCAACGCAAACAGATTCATAATATTTATCAGTTGAAAGCACTTTCACACTTTCTTCCACTGGATTAGCTAATTACGATGTTTGTTATCAATACAATTTTGTTTTTAGTAGTGCGAGTAACACACAGCAATTAATGATGATGTCCTTGATGGCGGAAGTGTGCTTGTTGTCTCTGCAATGAAGAAGGCGCCTTTTGGGTCCAGTTTTGATTGTCAATTGTTTTGATGCGAAATGTATATTTTTTCTTAGTTTTCTTAGTTCAACTGCGTCTCAAGAGACAAGTAACTTGTGCGAATTTCTATAAACCGCGCTCGTGTGTATGGTGTATAGTGTATTGTGTAATTGTTTCACAAAGTGATTACCAAGATAAGATTTGCATATTCAATACAATGAAAACCGCTTTCAGGGTTTAATGAACTTTTCAGTGGAAAATACATGTTATGAAATGATCAAAACTGATTCTTAGTATAATTTGTAAATTGATAAGGGTTTTTAGCTGACCTGACCATTTCATAAACCTAAAATAGAAAATTTTATATTTTCGATAGCTATCATGTGGATGATATAACTAATGAGAGAAAAAGACAAACTATAATAAAAATGCGATTAAAATGACACTGCACGTTCCCCGACTAATCGGGCATGCAGCCAAGATGTATACAGTTTTGATAAATGAAAAACTTTCATATCAAAAGGACTCTTTCAAATTCAACGAAATCTGCTTCACTCATCAGTTATATTAAATGATTTTTTTACTCGCAAGAATTTTACAGTTATTGGGCATCTGATAAGTGATGAGATCGAGTCCTTCTACAGTGTATCTCTTGTTATAAAATAGTAATAGTTCTCCCTATCGACAACTAGGAAACATAATAGTGATTAAGAAGTGCTAGGCTGTGCTGTGCTAAATTTGAATTAAACGGGCTAAACTGATTGTGCTCATCCGTCGATGTTTCTTTTTAATTTGTTTAGAGCTTCTCTCACTCGATGTAAACGTTGAAAAAATACAAAGACGCAAAATACATACTATTTTTCAATTATACAATGATTCGCCGGCGGACTAGGCATCTCCACATCAGTATCTCTTGTTGAATAGGCTCGTGTAAAGTTAGCATAAGTTCAGTAGAAGTGGAAAAAGCTGTTATTGCATTGGTTATTCACCGGTCCAAGGGAAAAATGTCCGTCAATTGGAACCCGGTAAGTCCTACATGCATCCATCATTCTTCCCTCTTTGTGGTCATCGTCTACAATGAGCATACCTTTTTTCCAAATGCTACATGTGGCAAAATTTTACGCGTATATGCGACTCAAACCTTGCCTTTGGTAAGGAAAATTGTCTACAAATGCGTCAGATGGGCAGACAAGTATACTGTTGGTCTACCGCGTAAGCCAATACTTTGCCTTATCACTCCGGAAATGGTGGGTGGTAAGTGTATTTGACACTTCTCTGACGTATCCTTTTGTGATGCAAGCTCACGGTGATCCTGTGCCGTTAAAATGAAGGATTTGGACTGCTTAACTGTTAAAAAGCTCTTAAGCTCGTCAAAAACAGTTGTTTGCATGCTTGCTTACATACTTAGGCGGTTCATGAAGTAAAATCACATGCAGTAAGTGAAGCCAAAAGCTGCCAGTGAAGTGAAGCAAATGCTTGTGCCGTACAGAACTTGTTTCACGCCAAGAGAATACTGAATTTATACTTGCTGTGTCTTTTCCATAAAAGAGGTGAGCTTCATGATCTAAACTTGAATAGACTTTGGAATTAAATGCAAAAAGACGTTTTTGATATCTTAACCGTCAAGATAATTCAACGACAAGTAGATTTTTCAAGTTTACTTAGGACGTTTTATGTTGTTAGTAGCATGTTTTACAGGTACACACACACAGTAGATCATCAGGTCAGTTTAGATAAATGTATGAGTATCTATCACAAGTCAAGGAAGGATCAAAGGCTCTCCACTTAAAAACTGTATTTTTATTTATTTATTTATTTTTTTGCATATGAGAGATCATCATTGAAAGTGGCCCGTGCTTAGTTTAATAGTACGTGGTGTGAATATTATTCATTGCATGTTATACTCTATTGAGCCAGGAATTTGCTCTAATCTTGTCTCAAACACAGAGAAATATTTTCCAAATACGTATCAGTGCAAGATAATTATATTTGCAAAATGACGGATTATTTCTAAGGTGAAGCTGTTGGCAAAAACGTAAAATGGAAACGTCTAGACTTGAAAAGGGAAACATCGAGATCGTATTCTTACGTAATTTTGAGTGTTTTCGTCAGTATCCTGTATTTGTTATTCAAATCAAGCAACAAACAACTCTGGTGACGTCATGAACGGGTGATATGGATTTTTAATCAGTCATGTAGAAAAAGAGGAATAACTTACTCCGGCCATTAAAAAAGTAATTTTTTACGCTGGTAATCCTTGTTTACAAAATGAAATGATTAAATACAGGAATAAATAAGAAAAGAACGATCAAATGAAGTGATAAAAATATCACCGCATTTGTAGATAAGGTTTATACGAAAATCTTAGCGCTCAGCTCCCCAGTGAAATATATTGTGAAATTATAAGCTGAAATTTCTTATTCTTTCTCTTTTTATCGTTTAACAAGACTGAAAGAAGTATGTATGTCAGCTGCTCTATCAGTCTGTCTGTCTGTGTGACTGTGAGTCCGTCAGCTGGTCGGTCAGAAAGAAAACCAATGGGTTTGAACCCATGGAAAACAACCAAGCGAATACGGTCGATCCTTTAGAAGAAAGACGGTCTTCGTAAAAACCCATTTGAAAACAATTTGGCATAAATACCACGCGTGATATTTCGGTTGATCCGAGCAGTTAGGCGAGTCAAATTTGACAATTTTTGAAATTTTTTTTATGCCAAAAGATGCTATTATTTGTTTATACTACTACCCACAAAAGGTTTGTAATTTTCACTTGTAGGTATTTCAAATTAAGCTGAAATACCACTACTCTGAGCCAATCAAATTGCAGAAATTTCTCATGTAGTAGTATAAACTCTTTTATTCCAGATCAGTGCAACCCAAATAAAGCGACGTTATGTCTGATTATGAGCGGACTCGACACTTCCGTTCCCATTCCCTGAAGCCACTTAAGCAGCCTAGCCTGCTTACCCAGCGTTCAAAACGAACCTTAAGCCTTCCCACCAAGCCCGTCATTCCACCACTCATTCATGTTCAACGTTACTATGACAACTGGGAAAGCTTCAGCGACGATGATGAGATGAACGGAGTGACAGAAGAGGAGGCTATGGGTAGGTGTTTTTAAAATCACTGTCGCTAGTTTGTAGTGATAACCTGCCCATCACATGAAGCGTTTACAATAAAATGACAACTCAATGAAATTTTAAGGAAAATTTCACTTCTTTTTTTAGCTCCCCCCCCTCCCCGCAAAAAAAAAAAAATTAATTCCCTTTGCTCTGAAATTCAAAACGCCTCAGTTATTGCTGTGTTCACTTCTAAAATAAAATAATTTTTCTTGGCATAAGCACACTTTACTTTTCTTAATGTTTGACTGCACTTTTTCACTTCTTTTGCTTTTTTTCTCGTATTTTCGCATCATTTTTCTCACTTTTTCTTTTTCGTTTTTGCACTTGCACGTTCAGCCTTATCCTATTTAATGACTATTTCTATGCTGTAAAGAAGTTGCCAGTATTTGATTTATTACGTAAATGATATATTTTTAAACGTGGCCGTTTCATAAGCCTTCAAAATTGGCTTCCTTGTTCTGTTTTGCTTCATGTCTCTGAATTTTGTGTAAATATTTTAGATAATAAAACAAATAAATATATGAACTCAAGCCTGACTGTGGGTGTTTCTTTCAGCGTGGTACACACCTGTGGTTGGTTTGTCCTGCAGTCTCGTGATGTATTTCTGGTCATGTGCTCTGGCATACTATTCAGCAAGTTGATGGTATGTTGAGTCAACTGTTGTAAATGATTTTTATTCAAATACCCGAAATTTCGTGCCTTTTCGCGACACCACAACTGGTTTTCCCGCGAAATGACATCTGAGAAACGACTGCCGAAACACTACCCAGAACTTGGTAGTGCAACCTCATCAGTATGGAATTTCTGTAGTCGTTTTCCATTCTAGTGAGGAGGGTCTCAATGGGGTGGTAGCTAGCTTTGACGGTTGATGGTTAAATTTTAGAACTTTTGACGGTTGACGGTTATTAAGTGGAATTTAGTCCAAGAGTTTAAGTAAATGTTAACTTCTGCATAAATTACTATTAAATGTTGTATTTTGGAAGTTGTCTTGGAAGCTTGGCCTTTCAATTGTGAAATTTTCAATTATTTTCAGATATAAGCAAGTTGTGTGGTCTTGTTATATCTAGATAGAGTGTTTCGAGAACATGGGAGCTGGTTTTTCCAGTTTAGAGATTCTTCAGGAGCCAGAATCCCTTGAAGATCAGCTGAAATAGTGAGATTTGAGATATCTTAAAACATTTTTACGGTTAATATTAATCTGCATTTTTAACCGCTGACGGTAAAAAATAACCTCTTTTGACTGTTGACGGTTACATTTTATGCCGTTTGACGGCTAACGGTTAACCCCATTGACGCCCTCATACAGTCATTTCGCGGAGAAACCAGTAGTGGTGTCGCAAAATTTCGGCTGTTTTCTGAAATATAATGGACCCATCCCAAAAAAGGTTTGAGAAGTGTTTCTATCTTGGACTACCAAATGATATATTTAATAAAACTTTGGTTTGCTCTTGGCGAAGGTTTAGCTTGTTATAATAACACTGGTGCGCGACCTACTAAAGAACGTTATAAAATGAATTTTAATTACAATTTGTTCCTCTTTCAGGGTCTTCACTGATTTGCTCAGTTGTCATAAAACCAAGCATTGAACTGAGTTTAAAAGAAAAAAACAGTAAAGAAAAGAAAGACAAGAATTTAGCAAAGAATACTGCCATTAGAGCAGAAACGGAAAGACATGAGTTCGACAAAAGGCTGAGAAAAGAACATGGACGAAATCGGGCCCAGAGGACTCAGATTAAAGAGAGGAGCTACCATGCAGGGGATCTCTATTTATGAAACTACAATTTATGGGACTGTATCCATTGCTTCCTCTTTGTAAACATCTGGAGAATCAAAAATGACGATTTACAAACAAAGGGAAATATATAATAGTAAATTATGTCAAAAGATAATTTATTTGACGTTACCTCTTCGCGCTCAGTTTCACAGGCTGTGACGCACTCACTTCATCTACTCCTTTCCCTAGCTACTAGCCTCGCCTCCTTTCATGTATTCCATCCCTTCGTGTCCCTCTCTAGATCTTTACACACCGTCAGTCTCCATGTGTTTTTTAGTCTTTCTAACCTTCCTTCCCCCTACTCCACACACTCACACACGACTTTACGGCCAAAAATTTAAGACCAAGACTAACAATAATAAATAAGCTGCAAACACTAGATGAATGTCAAGCGAAGCACGTTATCTTCTTTCTTTTAATTTCTTTTTTTTTTTTACCGTTGTTTTTCTAGCGATGAATTTCGCGGACCTCAAATAAGTTAATCAAGGCTACTAAGCATTGTTTTTATGAGGTATCATTTTCTGCACTGCGGAATGCAGACTTTCATGATCAGTTCGACTCTGAGAAGAATTAATTGTGTTAAGTTGTCAAGGTCGAATACAAGACCGTCTGCTGGCACACTAAAGTGTGTCCACCTTTGTGCTCAACCACAACTGTCATCGACATCATTATAGGTGTCCTTTCCACTCTTGGTGGCGCAAAGACGAATACAACTGTAACACTCCCTTTACCATCGAGAGTACAAAAGGAAGACAGCTGTTACTATAACGCGCTTTCCGTAGCGATTGCCCGATTTCTTCTTTCTCTTTATAATTGTTTATTTTTAAGACGACTTTTTAAAAAAGTTTGGCAACATTCAGTTGCCATAGTGAAGTCATTATAAACAATGGTCGAGCCATTAAAAATTAGAATTAGTGTTTTTTGCTCCTTTGGAGAATAAAAATGTGAGGGACACGTCAAATGACACTTAAAGGGGGCAAAATGTTGGATATAAGTGTGTGGAAGAAAAATCGACGGTGTAGGCATGACAGTTTTAAATATTAATTTTCGTTCCCCGCAAATTCGCCGTTTTAAATCAAATCCAACTGTTTTAAGAGGAAATTATAGTGGCTTGGATCATTTCGCCTGCTATATATAAGTTATCTTCGTTTCTTTTTTAATTTTTTGAATTAATATGGCTTTAAGAGAGTTCTGAATACCTCTCACATCAGAAAGTTACTGTTTTTACCGACTCAGTATTTGCGTGATATTTTGCTCGAATTTTATTCAGCCTGACAGCCATTATAAAGCGGGACGTTGTCAACCTACAGTTCCTTAAAATCTATCACTTTTAAGTTAATGACAAGAAACTCTTTGTGATTTGTTTACGCGGTTTTTCATCTGTCATGTCATTTCCACGTGAATATTATGCTCAAAAACATATGGCCCGCAGTGTTTAGCGACAAGTCAGCCTTTTTTTATGCGGGAGATCTGGGTTTTCCCATTTGGAGCATTATTGAACTCGAGGTAAGGCTTTTTTTACATGCACATGGTGTTATTTACGCACATTTCACTCTTTTTATGAGTAACAAAGCCTTCGATCTCGAATTCTCATTGTTCGTCTTACTCAATTAGTTCGTGATTGCTATTTTCAGCTTGCGTGTATGTAATTCACTCCATATAAAAACATGAGATATATGTTATATATCTTTCGCCTATTCTTGAAACTGCAAAATCAGATTCCAAAATAAGTTTCAATCTTTTTTTTTCGCTAGGAAACCTTTTAACGAACGTCTTTCAGCAGTAACAATGGTCGAATCAGTCACTTTAGGCATTCTCCTAAAGAAAATTCGGCCCTCTATTTTAGCGTTGGCGGATAAAGCCCCCGGATACGAGGATGTCAACTGGGCGTAAATACTTGCTGAATTCCAACAATGTATTTTAAAACAACATCGTTCATTGCCTGACAGACTTAGTTGTTGCTTACAATTTTTGTCGTTCCATTTTAATTTCTATTTTACTTTTTATCCCGGTCCCTTTTTTATTTGGATACGTTTCTACTTTCATCGCCGTAGCATAGTTCTGAATGACGTCATATCGGAGGTAAATACAGATGTTATCACACATCGACGTCAAAAATTAATATATTATTCTACTCAGAGAAATAAATCAAATCAGAAAAGATAATTTTGGAATGGCACTTTCCGACATAAACGACAAGACTATGTTCACATCGAGGGCTTGAAGTAAATATAATACAAACAAAAATTATTTCATTTTGTGTAAGACGTATAATCCGGAGCTGATACAGCACATTATTTACGTTCTACTTATAATATTTACATTTTATCTTTTTCATGGGTAATTAATCTATTTTTGTCTTTGCAACAACAACACCTTTCGAGCTTGAGGAAGACCAATGTTTTAGCCACAGCGCTCCACCGTGTCACGTTGAGATAATATTTCAGGGATTCGAGTAAATTCTGCCGTTGGAGGAAGATTTACAGTTTCAAAAAAGCGTTGAAACTTTTTTTTTTCACTTGAAGAACCAAGTTAAGTTCCTCCCTTTGCTCTTTAACGCTTTACTATACGACATTCAACGGTTTGTTTCCTCTTTCCAGGAATTAGTTGATGTATTATCGGTTCAAATTTCGTTCTCATCTGCTCTTTGTAGAGGGTGATATCGCAAATTGCTTCAAAGAAACATGTCCGACCGTGTGGCGCTTCCTCTGCCCTCAGGAAACGTACAAACACGTGTGTTTCGGAGCAATTCTTTCAACCCTCCTCCGCCGCTGGGATGTCATCGCTCTCGAAGAACGCTAAGTCTTCCTTCACGAGAGAAGCCGCTCATTCCTCCGGTAATTTCGGAAAATCCTGAATGTTCCCGACAAGAAAGCGAACAGTATCGTCAGGAACTATTGACGTCGCCGCAACCGCAGCAACCGCAAATACTAATAGACTGTTGCGAGCACGAAGTTGGTGAGCAATTTTATATTTTGGGGTGATACAGACAGTGAGATCTACTCAAATTCCGTGCCAGAATGCATGCAATTTTATCTTCTATCTTATAGTAGAAGATATTGTACATAAAAATTGCGTTAAGAAGTAGCTTGACTAAATTTAGTTAAAAGCACGACCACTACTGCATAAAGAAGGCCTCCAGTCGTAGGGGTATAACTAATTCCATAGCTGAGAAGCCGTCAAAGGTTGTAAGCTCTAAGCGTAGACAAGGCGCGTCTGAGAGAGTGGGCTACAGCTGGGGTTAGGGGAATGAGTGTCGGTTCACAGTTCAAACTACATTTACAACGTTTAATTACGTATTGTTTTTCGTTTAGGTTGGCTTAGTCCTGTCCTAGGATTATTCTTCAGCATTCTACTATACATTTGGGCATGCCTACTCTCTATATCTGTTCAAGACAAAGACACATTTGCTGTGTAATGAAAATAAAGCTGGGTGCGGGATATTTTTTTGAGTGAAGGCAGATCAATGCAAGTTCACAGACCATCGTATTTCCTGCAAGTTCAAATATAAAGATTTGATCTGACAGACTGATCTTGTTCTCGCTGATTGTTATTGTGTCCATCGGATTCTGATCTCTTATCTGCAGCTCTTGGACTGAGTTCACGTAAAGGAATCTGATTAACTAGGCTACTACTGATTTCGCTGTGATTTTGTTCCTCGGCTTGCGATCCCAGATCTTCTTTTATCGGAAATCCGCATGGAGAGATTCCGTCTCTCATGTTGATGCTCATGTCATCTTTATTCATTTCATCAGTTGCCAATGCCAAATTTATGTTTCCTTGACGTTTACACCCGGTGTCCCCATCATTAAGATCAATCCTGATAATTAAAGTACAATAACACGTTAAAAGAAAAGATTATAAAAATGCATCCTTTGCAAAATGCAGGAGTTATTATATAACGTGTACTTTCAGGGGCGTACCGTGAGATTTTGAAGGTGTACGAACGCGGGGAAGAAAAGATGTAGCGCGGAATTCGAAGGAGGTCCAACCCGGCTAGAGGGGTCTGGGGCATGTACCCCCTGTCTCAAATTAAGCGTCTCGGAAATGCCATTCCCCGCGTTTTCCTTAGAACATTTTCAGCAAATTAATACGCAGGAAAATGCAGTAGTTAGTTGTTTATTTTACTCATCTCTAGTGTTGCCGGTAAGGTACAGTGTTTGCGAAGAAAAACGGCCATTGACGCCATCAGAATTATGGAATAATAATAAGATAACTAAGGGATATACTAACACAAACACACCAATATCACGCGAAAAAAAATGATAAAAAATGCTTTTTAAGAAAATAAAAAATATATATGTATTTATTCATATTTCAGCTGTACATGTATGCACGGGCGTATGTTCGTATATGGACGCTACGCTCCTGGCTTTCAGGACTTTCGCTCCTTAATATTTAAAGAATACTAATTTTTGGTGAGAACGTTGGGGACGAACTCCTTTTCGTGTCAGTGTTGGCCACTTTTTTGTTGATGCCACATTTTGTTGGACGTCATTTGTGCCTCATAATTGAACTGACCTGCAGCAAAAAGGGGTCTATTTTGTTACCCCGTGGTCTACATTTCGAAAAAAGCCTGAATTGTACCAGTTGTTCATTTTTAATCCATGTTAATACTTAAACCCATTCTCTTTGTTTTCTTGCCTCTTCTTTCGCTTTCAGTTACTTCTCAGTTGTTTTTTCTTTTACTGGGCACATACTAGGCTTCGATTTCAGTGAAAAAACCTAATGGATGGTAAAATTATTTTGTAAGAAGTAAGGGTGGGCAGTGGGAATTTTTTTCTGGACAAAAATACTTGTTTTTTTGCGTTTTTCTCTGGCTTGCTTGACTGAATTGTGCTCATTTGGGTATGCTAAAAAGTTCTTGTCCCCCGGCACAAGGAAGGTGTCAATGACGTCTTTGAACGGTAACTTTGATGATGTCATAAGTGGTACAATACACTACCTTATTGCTTGCGGTGCTTGATCCAGTGAGACAACAATCTCGTCGAATGATGGGCGTTGTGAGGGGTCTGAATGCCAGCATGACGTCATTATCTCACATCTGTTGAAGCAAGAAACAGTTTCTTAGTGACTCGCGTCAAAAAGCAACTCAAATCTTTTATCAGCATGAAACTGAAAAAATTGCTGAAAAATACATCTTATCTGGACAGCCATCAGGTTGTTTCAGTCTCTGTCCTGACTTGAGAAAGTCTACAACTTCCATTCCTCCCAGTCCTGAATACGGCATTAAACCTGAATTAAAAGTACGAAAAGAAACTCTATTAGACGAGTGATTTCCCCATTTCACTCTGGGATGGTTGTGAATATTAGGGTCCCGTGACTGTTAGGCCGAGTTTATCCTTTAATTAAAGAACTTACCTCGAGATTCTATTTCCCATAACACTATGCCAAATGACCAACTGCAAAAGAAAGTCGTTCTATCACTAAAGTACATAAGCCATTTCCGAGTTCCCCAGGGCCTCTGAATCAAAACGAGGCTAAATGCTCAGCCTTTGATTTGGAAATGATTTTTCATTCTCAAGCAAGTAAGCCTCATTTTTACAAGAAAGGTTGTGCACTTGGCCTCATTTTGAACGTGAGAGTTTTAGGAACTCAGAAGTGGCCTGTTTTTCAGCTACGTTCGCTGATTTCGCCTATGGATTCTTCCATGTTGAAAAACGTAATTACTGGTTAAACTTACACGTCAGTTTTTGTGTTGTAGGTGTAATCTTCTAAGGATTCAAGAGCCATCCAACGTACTGGCAACATGCCCTGAAATAATAACAAGAAGAGAGAAACAAGGTGAGTGTGTGACCCTATAGGATTAAATATTTAGCCGCTGTCAATGATGCATCCGATTCACCCCGTGTGGGGCAGGGGTAGTCTGCTACACAGCCGTTTTTAGAGTCGTGACGACACTAAAAACGACTGTGTAGCAGACTAGGGCAGGGGCGGATCCAGGATTTTTTTTAGGAGGGGGTGCACTCGTCTCTTGCTCTACTTCAACACCAATAAACCACATAGTTGTATTAGAAAACCGCAGGTCATCTCAGGGGGGGGGGGGTGCGCACCCCCTGCAGCCTCCCCCTAGATCCGCCCCTGTGGGGATGGGTTGGCGCAAAGATTGAGGTGGTTCGTTGTAGCCACACACAGGGTTTATTTTGTTACCAGCACTTTGGAAACATTTGAGCATCTGATTGTTTGTAATCTTGTGCCGCGCGTCTTCAGACTAGGCAGAAAAAATTGGTCTGTTTTGACATACACTGTAAACACCTCTAGGATGGCATGAGTTGATAGTGACTAGATATTCTATAGATAAATAAATAGATAACAGGACAATGTTGTCTATGCTGTCATAGACGATAGAAACGAGTGTCAAATGTCAGTCAAAGCTTTGCAGAGAAACCACGAGCCGCTTTGGTACATATATATATCAGAGTGTATTTAAATTACGTACCCCAGACAACGTTTCGTATTCACCACTTTCGTATATATCACGTGACAAACCAAAGTCAGATATCATGGCCAAAAAATTCTCGTCTAAAAGGACATTTCGAGCTGCAAGGTCACGATGAACGCACTGCAAAGAAAAACCATAAACCATTACAGGCCCCATCAAACCAGAACATCCATTTCTCCAATATCGTAGGACTGGCCCCTATTTACGGGGCTATCTTGAGCTAAGATGTATCTTTAGTATATAGTATTGGCGCATAACGCTTACGAGAGATCGTAGCAAACTCGGCGGGTCCTAGTCAGGGTTTTCACTCATGTGGCCAGCAGCTTTGCAAATTTATTGCAACATAAGAAAATGTTTACAACTCCCACGGAATTGGTTTGGAAACCGTTTATTATTTTAGGACTTTTGAATTTTGCTACCCTATACTAGACTAAACTCCCCAAATCCCCCCCTACTACTATCCTAGAGTAGCTGTTTTCCAGAAACTACTGAGGTCACTAGCACAGTCCAACCAAACAAAAACCAGATTTGATTTTTCTTTCTTGAGTGGCACTTCTCAGTCTCCCTAGTCTAGACTACAGTCTTTAACCAACTGATCAGTTTCCTGGAAAATGATACCCTATTCTAGACCCAAACTCTCTGATTTATATACCTTATCCCAGAACTTTGGAACAACTTACGTGAGGATATAAAATCTGCAAACTCAATTGATGATTTTAAACGCAAACTTAAAACATTTCTTTTTATGCGAGCTTATGAATCGTGATGTTTTTATTTGTTATCTCATTTTTTATCTATTGTGTACATTTATCTATTTTGTAGTTAGCGTCTAGTTTTAATGTCAATTTCTTGTGATTATTTTTTACTTTGTAGTTCTATCTAATTTTTTGTAAACAGCGCCTTTGAATCTTGTAGAAAAGGCGCCATATAAATGGATTATTATTATTATTATTATTATTATTATAATTATTAATACAACAACACAACGAATGACATAATGATCTCACTGACTTAAAGAAAGAAATATACATTAAATATGCGATATTTACCAGGCGAGAGATCAAGCTGGGTGGATATTGGAAAGGACCACAAGCTTGCACCAGATATTTTCTTTCGTTAACAAAGCGGGCAAGAGGACAAGATACACCCACCTGGCCCGCCCAAAATAGCCGGCCAATCAGAACACAGAATTCGCCTGATATATCGAGTGCAGCGAGATCGAGAATACAAAATAATCCTAACTGTCCAAATTTCTCCGTTCCTAGTACTTCTTACCCTTTTGTTTGATAGATGTAACATTCCATTTGCAATATCTCTTGCGATCCTTATTCTGTCATCTCTTGTAAAGCATATTTTCGGTTGGTTTACATTCACGTAAGGACTTTCTCTGCTCTTCTGTAGAAAATTTAACAAGCAGCCATTTTCAGCTAAGCGTACGACCACTAATGCGGGTTCTGTTCGAAAGAAAGTTCATTGCTTAATTTTTTAGCACGGTTAATCATCACAATCCTATTACATATTACAATATACTAAAAAACTCCCCACCTGCCCCTCCCTTAAGCAAACGTTGACACTAACTTCTCACTCAGGGTGAAATGGTAAGATAGAGGAGGTGTGTTATTAGTTGTCAATAATTTTGAAACTCAAACGTCATATAAAACGACTCGAGAGGCTCAGTTTATCTCGCTCATTTGTTCAAGTAGACCAACAGTACCTCTTTATCTAAATCCCTACAACTGTGGTATGGGTAATTTTTTTCAAAAGCTTTGTTAACATCAAGGCGACGTAACCAAAAATTTTTGCTCAAACATGGGAATCCCCAAAATATCGATTACCAATGATGTCTCTACAGACCCCAGCTGAGCCACCTTCATAAAGAAAAAGCATATGCCGTTCCACCTTGGGGTTTATGCTATGTTAACAGTAGTCTTTAGTATCTATATGCTCATGAAAATTAACATGATGGACGAAATTTACAACCATGAGCAAGTTTAAAATTAACAAATTTTCATCTTTATCTAATACAGTTGTGGTGGCAATTTTTCCAAATCTTTGTTAATGACGTAACTACCTGTTTCTGAGCCACGTTCACAATATGCTCATGAAAATTAACTCCAATAAGATTTATCACATTTATCACATTGGGATGTTCACCAACTGTAGCCATAATCTCCAGCTCATTCCTTAGGTCACGCTTCTCTTTCTCTGTTGCATTTTCTGACATTTAAGAAATATTTTTGTTGCTGTTACGAGTCAGAATATGACCATATAACATCTTTATGCCAAATATTGCGTTATATTTGCTAAGCGATGCGATTCGAATACCCAAAGTACTGTTAGATCAGTTCTATAAGTTATTAATAAGACATGGAGTTTAGTAATTGAGGCCTTGGTCAATTAGGAAATTATGTTCTACTATGCACTATATTAATGGCTCGAGCAACGTGTTTTTTCCTCAATCATAGACACAAAAAAAGTTTACCAAAGATTACCTTTAAGTTTCTTTATAGCACAGTTCCTAAGTTGTCCGCTGATCGTGACCTCGCCCTTGAAAACTTCTCCAAATGCCCCTTCACCTAACTTCTCCTTGAACTCGACAGCTGATCTGGGAAGTTCAATCCAATTGCCGCGCTTCCCTAACACAATCTAAAATAACATTTTCGCTCACATTACCGGGCTTTGATTGTTCATAAGGGGAAGGTGAAGGCATTCAAAGTTATACATTAAAATCGATTGCCTCCAAGCTTTGATGAATGTCGCTATCAAGATCACTGTACCTTTTTGTCTTCTCTCCGTTTTGTTTGGCAACATGGCCGAAAAACCAGGCACACAGTGACGATGAATAAGAAAGCCAAACTCAAAGGAAGCACAATTGTGAGCATCAAATTCTTAACAATTTCATCTGCAAGTTAGACACAATAATCGTAAGAGAAACCTGAATTATTCAAGGTTCTTGTCGTATTTTATGTAATGTTTCTGTTAAATGGAAGAGACAGTTTGTTGAAGTATTTGAAGAAAGTGCACTACCCATTTAGTACACTGTGTGAAGAAACTGGTGGTTGAAGAAAGAAAACGGACGCATTCGCCTTCCCCGAGGCCACGCTTGCTTTTGTCTCCTTTACTGAAGTTGGTACTTAACCTTCTTATGTTAAATTTCATATTTGTTCTTTATCCTGGGAAGTTCCTTAGTGGGAGAGATGATCAATTATTATTTTTATTAATTGAAAAATTATAAGATCAACTAAGCGCGAGGGGGTAGCTAGCCTGCCAACCAATCAGGGGCACCCAACGACAATTTTCGGAAAAATATCTGTTCGAAGGACGATTTGAGATCTACCTTTGCAACATCTAAAAAGTGGTATAATTGCATCGTCCCTAGAATTTTCCTCAAGAAAAAAATCGGGAAAATTTTCCACTAGACTTTCAGGGGATGGGGTGAAAAATTTTTAGGGGATAAAAATATCTACCCTAAAATACGTTTTAAATTGTCAATCAAATCCCTTTATTTCTCCTATGCATGTGTACAGCACAAAAAAAAAAAAATTTCTAGTACCTTCCCATCCTAGTGTTTTGTCGTCAAAAGTATATACAGCACAAAAATCAAATGTCCCATATTTGTTTTTGATGCTTCGATGTCCCAATTTGTTGATCATGTATTCAGTGGCTGGTTCTAAGTCCTCCAGAACCATTCCAGTCTGTGAATAGGGCAAGACTGCCACCTTAGTGAAGTTTTTGGAGCCTTCTTTTCTGCGTTCGACTGAGTAGTTTTGAATCTGGAAATCACTTCCATATTTTGGTTTCTCCCACGTTATAACAATGTAACGTGTCTGTACGTTAATTGCCGTTAAATTTCCAGGCGATGGTGGTTTCTCTTATTAAAAAGAGAAACAAAATAAGATTTAGAAAATCGGGTAAACGCATACATTAATATGTTTTCTGAGGACAGAGCCTGAACTCAGCAGCAAAAAGTATGCTGTAGTCTAAGAGTCATCGAGTTTACGTACCTGCAACAATAAGAGCGGACACACCCAAAGTGTCTTTAAACGAGGTATCAAATCCTTCTATAAAATGAGTCAAAGCCTCAGCTTTTGAAGTATGTTCATTCACTATGGCTAAAAAACCAACATCTGGGCGTTCACGCTTCCACGACTGGTAATTCAGAAGAGAGAATTGATGAGGAAGAAAAACAACAATTAATAGTAACTAGTAGATAGGTAACAAGTAGATAGCGTTGAGAATTAATCCCGTTTTGGTCTAGCTAAGACTAGTTCACCAGTTCAGTTATAGAGAACGTAACATAACCCAAACACACCCATTCGCAGGAGCAAAGGACAGTGACATTTCTTCCAAGGTGAATTTTTAACTATGATAACTATGACAGAGTGCTAAGGAAGTTTTCTTCTTCTTTGTCCGAAAACGACCAAACGTTATTCAATACTAGGAAAGAAGAGCACTTGAATGAAGCCACAAAAACCTTTTGGCTGTACGTGAATTGTCGGAACAAGAAGTGACTGATAAGAGGGCAATACTACCTGAAGCTCAAAACTCTGACTTCGTAAATCTTGAACAGAGAAGATTCATTGAACTGAATATTTATCTGCAACGAAAAAGTAGTCTCATTATTTTTTATCAAATTAAACAACGAGAAGTCTTTCCATCTCCTTTCAGAGTGCACGCGAGCGAGCGTGCTTAAGACGACGCTACACGAGTGGCGGAAACGTAAAACCATTTCTTGCCTTCGATGTAATATTCCTTTCCATCACTGTGAACTTTTCGCTACTTCTATTAAGTAGATCACTGTGAAAACCAGTGTTAATCACAAGCCTAAAGTTGATGTCAACAACCATTCTACCTGAAAAGAAAGAAAACCCAGTCTTCAAAATGTAACTGCAACGTCTTTGACTTAAGGTCAGAAATTAAAAGCGAAGCTCATGAAAGCGAAGTTTGTATGGGGTAATGCGATATATTTACTCTCGGATATTCTCGCAAAAGAACCCATAAGGAAATAGGAATTCTTTTTTTAAGATAAAACTGTGATCTTTCACTAGTGACTAAAAATTTGAAAGCACCTTTCCAGAAACACCACGGCACGTGAAAAGAGGGTTCTTCACTTTAAAAACTTACTCAGTAACATGAAAGTTCAAAGAGCGTACAATATCACTGAAGCATGCATAAATTGGGCTATCTTCTTTCTGATTATGAAATTGTTTAGCATATTCAGAAATTAAGAACAAGATATAAAAGCCCCCTTGCCAACAATCAGCCTGTTTAATAGTGCAAATTGGTGCACTAACCTGCTGATCCACTTAAATAGGCCTGGATTTATATGGAGTCATGAGAACATAACCGTTCTTACATTTTCCCACAAATGTGTACTAACAGGCCGATTTTTGGCAAGGAGACTTTCTTATCTTGTTCTTTCTGAATATACCATCCAATCTCATAATTTCAAAGCTTTGAATTTTTGTGACGTGACACTTCTGTTCTCTATAACAATATTGAAAAAATTAGTACAGAACAAGAAATCTAAGAGTGCAGAGCCAGGTTGCATATACTTGCCCTTTTGCAAAGTTTGTACAACAATGAGGTTTCCAGGTGGTCCGTGACCTACTTCATTAAAGCCATTTACTTTAAATTCATACGAAGTTCGGAAGTAAAGTTCGCTGATCACAAATTCTGTGCTGTTACTAGTAACATTCTTTTCAGCATATAACTGGTATTCAAGAAGTCTGCATATTATCCGGTATCCCAGGAGCTTTCCATTTTGAGAGCGTGGAGGAATACGTTCCCAGGATAAGTGAATTGCAGTTGAGTTGAGAGGATATCCTCTTAGGAAACTCGGGCCATCAAATGGAACTAGTGAATGGAAATTTTCGCAGACACTCAGTTACAGAGAAATGGAGAAGGAAGGGAGGGATAAAGGAAGGGAGGAAGGAAGGATAAAGAAAAGATGGAAGGAAGGAAAGAATTGGAGGAGCAAGGAAAGGAGAAAGGGAGAGAAGGAAGGGAGGAAGAGTAGGAGGCAGGGAGGAAGGAAGGACGGAAGGGTGTGAGCGAGGGAGGGGACAGAAAGGAAGCTAAGGAGGCCAGTTAAGAAACAGGAGAGAAAGGGAAAACGTTTTGAGTAAAGGAAGGATGTGATGGATGAATCAGTGTACTTCTTGAGTTTTTCCTTGTGAGTCTGTTGGCAAAGTATATCCTTTGGTGTAACTATTAACTTATCTTTCTTAAGCTGTAAGGTTTTACAAAACCAAAACCTAAAAAGTACCTCTTGGAGGGCAGCGGGATATATTGCAGTACTCCCATCGAACCTTAGGGTCAGTGGTATAGCACCAAGGTCCATCCGGGGCACTGGCATCCGGGTTACGACACATGTTGGAGTCATTCTGACCATCAACAACATCTTCAGGAATCCGCGAATGACGGTGAGGGCATTGAGAAATCCATCGCTGACACGGAAGGCCCGAACGGGTGATATTCACATTGCCACGATATCCAACGCCGCTGCCATAGTAACAATCTATGAATTGTTTCACAAATTCATTCGCCCCATTGAAGGGAGTCCGGGAAATTTTTGCTTGTGGAATCCTGAATCCTGGGCTTTGTAGTCCAGAATATTTTTCAAGGAATCTGAATCCCATTTACGATTGGAATCCGGAATCCAAGTTCAACTGAAAAATAATCCTGAATTACCTTACATGGGGCAAAACTGAAGACGACCTACTACTTTGGGACACTGAAATAAACAAAATGCATTCCATATTTGTCACTTGACCTCTGAAGAAATGCACTATATTTCACATTAAATGGTAAGACGCATTCACTTAGCACAATTTGAATTCTCCCTAGCATGTAGGGAAATCCAAGACAGTCTTGGATTCCAAGTACTGGATGGGCCATTTCCGAGTTCACCAGAGCCTCTGTATCAAAACGAGGTTAAGTGCTCAGCCTTTGATATGGAAATAATTTTCATTCTCATGCAAATAACTCATTTTCAGAAGGAAGGTTGTGCACTTGACGTCATTTTGAAGGTGAGAGGCTTTGGAACTCAGAAGTGGCCTATCCACGACGGCCTTGGATTCTAGATTCCTTGTTAGTGGAAGCTGGATTCCGGATTGCAATCGCTAGTGGGATTCCGGATTCCTTGGGCTGAATTCCGGATTCCAAATCCCAGGATTCCGGATTCAACAATAAAAGATTTCCCGGATTCTGGATTCCACAGGAAAAAATTAACCCGATTTCGGAATCCGGATTACTTCACAAAGCGCGATCAGTTTGTCCTGCTAGAGATTTGACGCTTGATTAAACTGATTTAGAACTGACGGTGGTTACTGTTGCTGCGTCCGTGGGACATAAAAATTTGGTTTAATACACTGATTTCTTCAAGAAATTTTGACACCAGAAAGAAATTCAAAAAGTGACATTTCGAGCGTCAACCCCTCGTCAGAAAGAAAAAAAATGAATTGGATTTACAAACCTGTACTTTCTGTTTCGTCACCTTTAAAAAAGAAAAAGAGAGAAGAAATCTTTAAGCTTGTCTCTTTTAAAAAATTAAAACCTGAAAGCCGCAGGAAAAAGAGCAAATAATCACCTGGTAATGCAGGAAGTTGGTAGCATTCGGGTGCCTCTCCTCCATTGGCAGCGGGATATGAGGTGCAATTTAACATAATTTCGTCAAAATCAGAGTCTTGTGCCGCAATTACCCTCAGATAATCTAACTCACTTAAGCACTTTTCATAGGTCACAAATTCACAGGTCTTACGACAAACGCCTTGTGCGAGGGGCTTGTTCAGGGAAGTATCGCACAATGGAAACGCATAGCGGCAGGCCACTTCCTTGCTGAATATTTTGCATTCTCCTGATATTAATGCTAAGAAACCTTCGTACTTTGCAATCAGACTCTCACTTCTGCTCAAAACACCAGAATCCCCAAAAATGTATCGATTACTAATGATGTCTCCACAGACTCCAGCGATTTGAGGGTAAAATGTACATGATATGTTCCTTGAAGCAGAACTGACTGGAGGTTCCGCAGGAATACAGCTGAAAAAAAAGCATATGCTAGTTACTCGTTCCACCTTGGGGGTTAATACTGTGTTACAGTAGTCTTCGATTGTTTTTTGATACGGTAGAATTCCGATTTCTTGAGCCTTCGGTTTCTTGAACGTGCCCATAATTAAAGGCAAACTAATTTTCCTTTCTCACTCAAATAACTGCAATTTTATGACCAATCTCTCAAGCTTCTTGATTATTCAAGCCAATTTCCCAGGAGGATTGAAAAATCGGGATTGCAATTGACGAGGGGTGCGTGGGTGAATGTAGTCCTGAATAGGACTAAGGTTAACATTGATTTGTGTTTCATCAAGCACTGCGTAAGTGGTTGGTCGACAGAGGTTTTTTGACGTTTTTGACATTTAAATGAAATTAATGATGATGACGATGATGGCAATAACGACGACGACGGTTATGATGATAACGATGACGATGACAATCACAGTTGGTAAGTTAAGATGACGCCGTCATCTCCAATTATTCTGCAAAGTCATCTTTACTATAACAGTGCTCAAACTGAATGTTTTACACACTTGACTTGCAAATATTTTGCAGTTAAAGTTAGTTTTCATGCTGAATGCACTTTGATATCTTGTAACCATAGCCCCCTCGTCGAAGAGTTAAAAAATAGCAATAAGCGTCCCCACCCCTCCACCATGAACGAAATAATAGTGAGCTTAAGCAACGAAAACGCTGACGTCCCGGACATCACGAATAGCAACCGGAAGTTTGATGTCTCGCTTGATGGAACACTTTTGTCTCACACAAAGAATCTGAAAGCCTTTGTTTTATCTCCCACTGTGCGAATTTGTCCAGTCAGAGCACTGGAAGAAAGAAAATATCAACTTCTGGTTGCCATTTTTGACTTCCTGGACGTAAACGTTATTGTTGCTTAAGGTCCCTAATCACTGAATGTAAGGTACAGAAGGATTTCCACCTCAGAAATAAGAGGACCTTGGAGATAAAAGGACTTTGACAGTAACCAAACACTGATTTGTGTTTCTTGTTACAGACACTTTCTAGTTTACCGTAACTTACAGTGACTATTTACCGGATATAAATACAAGGCTATATGGAAGCCAAACTTTGAAAAACGAAGTAAGCGCTCCTCCTCTCTCGAATTTAGCACCCCCTTTCAATTCAAAAAGTTAAATACACGTCCCGGTCGTTAATTCGAGCATTAGCGGTAACTGAAGATAACTAGTTCTTTTGACACCACAAAGTTTATGTTGAGACTTACCTCGAGTTTGTTTCTTGGGAAATCGACACGTTCTGTGATGCTAAAAACAAGGATTAACATAGGCAAGTATTAATTCAAACAAGGATTAAAACAAATAACAAAGGAAAACCCTTTGTCTTTGGTAGCTGGCCCACAAAGAAAATTTGTGCTTACAATCATCGTTTTAACTATCTCAATGTACCAGTTCTGAAAAAAAAAATTCATTTCAGTATATGCGGTTACTACGAAGTCAATCTATCCTAATGTCGATTTGATTTTCCCGCTAATTCTAGCATTTGAAAACGGACCTTATTTTACAACTCTCTCTCCGCTAATGTCACACACGAATTGACTGTTGAAGTTCGTAAACGCATACAAACTAAAAGCACGTTTACCGGACTTTCGTCCACACATGACCGATAGTAAACGGATATCATCGGATATCAATTAAGTTCGTCAAAGGGTACGAGCACTGAAAGCGCGTTTACACGACTTTCGCCTCACACATGACAGATCTTACACGTTTAGATGCCTATGGTCTGAATGTCATATATCAGTTAGCGTACAGGAAACTCCACAGCACTGAGACTGCAGCTGCTCGTGTTGTTACTCTTTCGCCCAAGTTCTGTCATATTAAACCTGTTCTTGCGAATCTTCTCTGGCTCCGGATTGTTCTGTCATATTAAACCTGTTCTTGCGAATCTTCTCTGGCTCCGGATTGAATTTAATATACTTATTGTTACCTACAAGACTCTCCATGGATTTGCTCCTGCTTATACTAAAGATCTTCTTCAAAGTTCAAGCTCCCGGCACGGGATCTCAGGTCTTCAAAGAATTGTCGTGCCTGCTTTTAACATAAAAAGTTATGGCCGTCGTGCTTTTTGTGTTGCTGCGCCGCTTCTTTGGAACAGTCTTCCTCAGCATATTAGGAATGCTGGATCACTGACATTTTTAAAAGACAGTTAAACTGCTCCATTTAGACGCGCCTTTTTGAATTGATGACGTGATTGTACTGTTTTATATCTTAAATTATTTTATCTTTAGTTTTTGTAGTTTTTAAGTGTGGCTTTAAATTTTAACTGTAGAAAGCGCCTAGTTTGGACCCTTGGGAAAGGGCGCTTTAGAAATATCTCATTATTATAATTGTTATCATTATTAAACGGATATCATTGTTAACAGTCTCTAGAGTCAACTTGCCCTCAAGACAACGTTTTTTGAGCGAAAAAAAGTCGACGAGAGAAGTGCAACTAAAACGGACTTTCAGAAACTCTATCTCCAGAGTGGACAACTTCGTAAACGAACAAATGGAAACTCATGAGGAAATAGCATACTTACATTCGTAACGTAATGGTCATAAGAAATTTCAAAACGCGCAAAATTATAATCCGACACGCCTGATTTCTTATTTCTTTTAAAACCATCGATTTACATATAACTGCCACATCACTTTGTCGCCATGAAAAGCATGATTACGTGTTTTAGAGAAAGAACTCTTAGGATCCAAAAAATGTGCTCAAACAAACTTATCTTTAATTTCTCGCACAATTTGATGTTTTTTGCCCGGAGTGTTGAACGTTTTACACTCTGAGAGTGAAATACGACACTACTTCCTCATGGAGTAATTCATGTGAAACATTACATGAAACGTATATTTTTCACCATAGTAGTGAACCAGCAATTGCACTTGATAGCTAAAGAGGTAAAGGCCTTTTTGAACGTCGTGCCACTGCCGTGCCGAATTCAATTGATCGAATTGAATAAATTCGACCAGTTAGCACGGCAGTAGCGGGACCTTTGAAACTAAGTCGTGCTACTGCCGTTTTGCCGTGCCACACGGCAGAAGTGCGACTTGGTTTCAAACGTCGTGCTACGGCCGTACCGAACTCAATTTATACACTGCAATTGCATTTAAATAAGAAGGAAACATTTTAAAAGTTGATAAACTGGGTTTTCTATTTCTATGCTTTTTTTTTACGACACTGGATACTTAATTCGACTGATAAATTCGATGTCTGAAACCGAATGCATGCTGCAGTCGCGCTACGGTCGTTATACAGTCAAGCCAGCTTTGCATGGCTGAAGTAAGACGTTTGAAATACGCCTAACTTTTTCCTTAACTCGTTATACCATAAATTCCAAACTTACCACAGAAAGACAAGGTTACAACGTACAGAGCAGCAATAATGTGAAGATCACCTGTAGCCATTTTTTCACCAACGCTTCATCAAATTACAAACCCACCTCGGAAGAACTCATGCAAAAAAGGGCGTAAGTTAAGGTAGCTCGTACTAGTTTTCACGCGTGAGAGGTCCATCGCGCGCGCATCTAACTTCGTACGCACAAGATTATCAAACAAATGTGGCGGCGTACGGCTATTTTTGGGCACGGTTACTTTTGGCCTATTTTTTATAAAATTCGCATTTATCATGTGCAGACACTATAAATACTGTAAAATACGTATTTTTTAGTGTGGACGTTTCTAAAGGAATACTCGCAAGCTTACTGCAATCGATCGTGACAACAACTGTGACAAAGAATGGGAGGAGAGAACAAGGACTCTCCAACTGTAAGAAAAACTACCAAAACAACAAACCAGAGTACTATAAACCACAGTTAACCACACTTTATCTTCTCGCCTAAATTTTTGGATTTGGATCATGTTTAATCCACGACTGCTTTTTAGTGTCCTTTCAAGAGCGACGATCAAAACTGAAAACTTTAAGTCCATTCGACGACAGTCTATTGCAAACATTTTCGTCAATGCCACTTCGCTTTGTCTATTGATTGTTGAAAATTGAGTCCAGAAGGCGATATTTTCAGGCTACCGAACGTTTTACTGAACAACGCGTAAATTGGACGCCATGTACATTTTTTCCTCTCTGCAAGGACTGTAAGCGAAATCAATAGATGCCCGCAAGTGTATTAGCGCAACAGTCAGCGGTAGTCAAGAAAGCGCTTGAGTAACCCGCATTCTTATAGAGTTTAGATTTTACAAGCATTAAACCACGCTTGGGAATTTTTGAAATCTAGAATCATTTTACAAGAAAACAAGACTGGTGACCCCTCCTTTTACCTCTTTGATATTGTATGAGAGTTGCCAAAAGTTAAGTTGTCGTTGAAAAAACAGGTATGGGGGGGGGGGGGGAGGGATCACCAACTTAATTTTCTAGTTATCAGTACCGGAAGCTGAAAAGCAGGTCTGAATTTGCCTTAAGTATTGAGCCTGAAATCGGGTTAGAACAGACTGGATGAAGACATTTGCATAGAACCGCCATTATAGAACTCTTTATAGTGGTTAAGAACTCGTTGCGTTTGTTCATTTCGGTGGTCGTTTTCGTTGTTCACTTGTGATTTCAGACTTTCATCATTACAATCGATTTCACACATTGTATAATCGAACTGTACGAATTTTTGTGCTGCTGTGGCTTTGGCTTGCCTCTTTCTTCCATCTGTTCTTTCAAAGATAAAATCGTCAAAAACGGAGAAACTGGTACGAGCCACCTTAAAAAAATTTCTACTATTAAGTAAATGATATTTTGGTGAGTAAATCATGGGTAGCAGGATACCTTGTTTTCACTTTATTTCCATTCCAGACTCTTTTAATAATTCGTTCACCTGATCCCCTATGGAACAGTATACCTGAAGTTTTGGGAAGACTCCCCAAACGAAGGTTCAAGAAGAAAATAACCAAATTAAATCCTTATTTCAGATCTTCCTTAAACAGGACAGTTATGTTGATATAGATACGTTATTGAATGAAAAGAAAGGAATTTAAAATTTATCTTCTAAGTGCTTGTGACTTCGTAAACCAGTAATCCTACGTCTTTTTATCCTTCCTCCAGCCTTTCATTAATGATCTATATGTTTATAGTAATTATTGTAGTTAATCTGTAATGCCATATTTATTATCTTGTATCTTTCTTTGTATTATATTGTAATTTAGGTGTAAGTGATACGTCCCCATACTACTTGCCTCCATTAGCTTCTCTATTCGTAGGTAGTCTGTATTTGTAATTTATCGATTTTCATGTAAAATAAAGTTTTCTGGTTGTAAATTTTCCTTAACATCGAATAGCAAGAAACCCAATGATTTCGTACAGTAACTGCAACCTGACAGAGGCCTTCAAGGCGCCTAATTTTGAGATCGATTTTATGTCTGTTTGACCAATTTTTCGTTTTGTAACGTTGTTCGCGCCCGAATCACGCCAAAGCTTTCACGTAATCAAAAACGTCAATTAAAGGAACTATAATTGGTCACGTTCGCGAAATAAGGTGACCCGACGAAGGAGTAGAGGGACAAAGGGTTTTATCACCTGAAGAAAAGTGTAGGCCTCCAAATCTTCTCGCGATGGCATCTTTGAAGTTTGGTGACACCTGAGAAAATGTTCACTTGGTAGGTGACAAAAGTCGTGGCTTTCCTGTTGACATATTTTCTTGCAAAACAAACAAAATTTTGCCTAGTGCGAACAGGGCCTAGTTTACAACGTTATCTACAAATGCATTTTTATTACGTATTGTTGTTTGTCTAGGTTGGCTTTGTCCTGTCCTAGGATTACTCGTCAGTATTCCACTGTACTTTTGGGCGTGCCTACTCTCTATATCTGTACAAGACAAAGACACCTTCGCTGTGTAAAAAAAATAAAGCTTGGCGGAATTTTTTTTTTTTTTGAGTGAAGGCAGCATCAAAGCAGGTTCACAGACTGTCACTTTTTCTACAACTTCAAACATAAAGATTTGATTTCACAGATTGATTCTGTTTTCTCTGATTCTTAATTTGTCCGTCGGATTCTGATCCCTCAGTTAGAGTTCTAGGAAGTTCACATAAAGAGATCTGATCTCCCAGGCTACTTCTGATTTCGCTGTCTTTTTGTTTCTCGGCTTCCGATCCCAGGTCGTCTTTTGCTGGAAGTTCACATTGAGAGATTTCCTCTCTCGTGTTCATGCAGATGCCATCATCATTCGTTTCATCAGTTACCAATGCCTCATTTATATTTCCTTGAAGTGTAGACTCGGTTCTCCCATCAGTTGGATTAATCCTGATTATCAAGGGATAATAACATGTGTTAAAAAAGTAAAAGATTAGGAAGCAACTTCTGCTAAATGCATGCCTTAGTCATTTCATAACGTGTTGTTTTTAGGACTGTAGGTCGATAATATTATTTAACGGTTCTATACTAGTTGAGTGAGGGCCTCGAAAAGTTTTAGCAAAAGGTGATGACAGAGAACAAAAGGAACACAGACGTGTGATGTTATAAAGAACGTCAGGGAAGAACTTCTTTTTACGTCTGTCTTGGTGTGTTGATACCACATGCGGGACGAGTCATCTTTGATTTACATGTGAAGTGACCTGCGGCAAAAAGGGATCTATTTTGTAACATCATGGTCTACATTTCGAAAAAAAAAGCCCGAATTGTACAAGTTGCGCATTTAATTGCAATCCACGTTTATACTTTAACCCATTCGCTTTGTATCTTCGCCGCTTCTTTTGCTTTCAGTTACTTCTCCTCGATTTATTTTTCTTTTACTGGGCATTAGCTAGGCTTCATTTTGGTGAGAAAATCTTTCTCAAAAACCCCTAGGATTGTAAAGTTTGAAAGGAAGTAAAAGTGTGCAGTGGGACAAGATGTTCACCTGAATTTTCTAGTCAACATTTCTCTGGCATGTTGGACTTAATTGTGCTCATTTGGGTATGTTAACAATGAAGGTGTCAATGATGTCTATAAAATTTCTGAAAAATTTATGACGTCGCAAGTGGTACAAGAGACGTTTTTCCAGAAAGGCGGCTATGGACCGTTGGGATGTCAATGTGAAAGACACACACGCACCTTATTGCTTGCAGTGCTTGATCAAGTGAGGTAACAATCTCGTTGAATGAAGGGCGTTGTGAGGGGTCTGGATGCCAACATGACGTCATGATGTTAAAGCTGCAAGAAAGAAACAAAGCTTTTAAATAGAGACCAACACCTTATCAGCTGATTTGCCTAGTCTTTATCTAAGTTGAAGGCATGCATTGTATAAAATAATGCGGCCATTGCTTTTTCCTTTTTCTGCAGTGATGGAATTTTTGCGTCTGTCGGACCCGCAAGTCACGTTTTAGCCTTATTCCGGTTAAATAGCTGTAATTTTAGCCGCTACATTTTCGAACATCTGGCTAAACACATAAATAGGTATGCACAGGGCACGGGATCCCTCGGGTCCTCCCATAATAATCAGGCTTATGGTAATTCCGAAATGAGCTACTATATTTGTGGGTCATACATATTATCAGGGCATCCATCCGGTTGTCTCAATCGCTTCCCCGATCTCAAAAAGTCCACCAACTCCATCCCAGCCAGACCTGGATAAGGCATTTCACCTGGAGAACAACGGAAAACACAAATTATGTCAGTATCATTTTGCACACACTCCTCATACTATGGTATGACAATACAGTAAATTGTCGCCTATAACCCCTGGGCTTATACATCTTCGTTAGGGGCTTAAGGAGAGCGTATAAACGCAGGGGCTTATATCCGAGGGGGCTTATAAGCAGACTAGAAAAAGCGCTTTGAAACAAGCTTTAACAGTGCTGATCAAAATACGTTTTATATTTTACTGGGTTTTTTTTTTTATCTTCAAAAAGTCAATGCTACAACAGTCAAGTACTGTCGGACATCCACAACATATTCAGAAGAGTTCAGTGTAGTTGTACCTCCAGATTCGATTTCCCACAATACAACTCCAAATGACCAGCTGCAATGAAAGAAATGATTTTAATCGGTTATTGTTTTCATTTTATTTTCTGCATTGAATACAGGCTTCTGACAACTTGTATGGATCACGTGTATCTAAAGTCATCTTGTTCACTGGCTTTTTAGCATGAGAATAACATGATTGCACATAGGAAGCAGGAAGGTTTGTAACAAAACAATGTCATCTTCAGCCTCGCTTCTATTCAACAGCCAGGGCTCTAAGCACACAACTTTAATGGTCTTTTAAGGGTGACTGATCATCCAGGAGTGATCCACGTGATATTTTAACCATTTCTCCCCACTTCTTCTATAAGAAAAGTATGGACCAAGAAAGGGGAATATATTTGAAAGGGTTAAATACAACTTACACGTCAGTCTTGGTGCTGTATGTATAATCCACAACAGATTCAAGTGCCATCCAACGAACAGGCAACACACCCTGGTGTGAAATCGAAGCAGAAGAACGTAGTGAATTAAACCTATGCTTACAGTTACAATCCATGATGATAAAACATATAGAATCCCATGTGGGGAACTTGGGAAACTCTAAATTTTTCTTAGCTATTGTTTGTAACTCTTGGTCTTTATCATTTCTATTTTTTTAGTCCTCGTTAAAGGTTTGTGTTGCAAACCGAAATATCGGACATTATTACTCTTCCTTCCGCAAGGGTCAGTTTATTATTTTTAAAATTTTTTTTTAATTGAAGAAATTACTGATCCAGGTCTACTTAAGATCCGTTGTGTCGTTGTGGTTTTGCCTTCACAAGTGTTTCTTACATCCTTAGTTTGTAACCTGCTTCTCTGTAGTTTGACACATTCGATGAGTGAAAATGAAAACATTCTCATGGGTAGGGAAAGCGTATTGCCACATAGCGAAAGAAAATGAGGTGAATCTTCTTTGATACAAAGACTTTAAATATTGACGGGAGAACCCTAAACAGGAAACAAAGTCCCTCACTGAAGGGCTACCTATAAAGTTTACAATAAATAAAAATTAAACAGCTACTAATAGCATACATGCATAATCAAGTGGAAAATATCTACAATATTAAACTAGATCATTACTCAAGTATAACCTAAGGTTAAGTAAGAAACAATATACATGACAACACATTTCTAATACATGACGTACCCCTGATGTGTTCTCATAAGCGCCGCTTTCGTACACGTCACGAGACAAGCCAAAATCAGAAACCATCGCAACGAAGTTTTCGTCAAGTAGCACGTTTCGTGCTGCAAGGTCACGATGAATACACTAAAAAGCAAAAACAATAAAACACTGGAATTCTCCTTTATAAGTTAATTTAACCTCAGGCTCAGGTAATATCGTGCTCAGCAAAAATTTGTTAAATGTCATGTCTTCGTCGCCATTTTGAAATCGCAACAGCTCGCATCATTTTGTTGGTTGTGCCATTACGTTAGAACCACTCTATTAACTTGTTGAATTGTTAGGTTTGGTTCACTGTTTTTATTTACAGTCTTATGGAGTAATCCTTCATGAATTAATTGCATCATCCTACTGATGAACAGTTGCGACACGTAGATATATATATATTTTTAGCAACTAATATAATTTGCAGTCTGTCTACTTTGAATTGTCTCAGTGGAACATTTTTCAAATGTATCGTACCTTTTTGTTTGAAAGATGTAACATTCCATTGGCAATATCCCGTGCAATTCCTACTCTATCGCTTAATTCAAAGTTGATTTTAGATTTTTCCACGTTGATATAGAGATGCTCTCTGCTTTTCCGCAGATAATCTAGTAGACAGCCATTTTGAGCTAGACGTACCACCACCAATACAGGCTCTAAAGACGAATCACAAATCAATATTTCATAAGTTATATAAGTGTCTCGTGAGCTTCTCCCAGTTTTTCTCTAAAAAACACGTGCAAACGGATGCAACAACTCCCAACATTGTTGGGCCAACAATGTTGGAAGTTGTTGCGTCCGAGTGGTGTGCAAACAGATGCAAGTTAGGACATGCAGTGCATCGTGGGAAGGATAAATTTTGACCGGTTTGAAACGTTGCGCAACAACATGCAACAGGGTGTGCAAACGGACGTAACATATAACATCCAACAATGTTGCGTTAATTCATGCAGCTTTGTAACAAAAGTTGTAATCAGAATTAGTTAATGCGTCTTACAACTTCACTGACCCAAAAACTGGGCTAGGGTGGTTCATTATGTATAATCTTTATTTACAAACTACCCAGCACGAAGATATCATCTTGTTATAAGTGATTTTGAATAGACACGATAACAGCTAAAATTAAGTACACTCAGTGTACGTTGCCTCTGTACCGAGAAGAGCCTGATCGTTTTGAAAGCCCGGTATGTATTGTAGGTGCAAAGTTAGAAGGGTCATCGAGTGTTTTAAACAAGGCAGTCGCTCAATTTTCGAAAGAAGACTTCCCTTGGCTATTACCTAAATTCAGACAGTCGGAAGTCGCTCGCTCATAACTCCTTCCTACATTCGCGCTAGAAAATGTCTTTATTGCGAGTTATGTTACCTACCTGTCTCTGTACAAGCTCCTAGAAGACTTACTAAATTGGGGTGTTTGCCAGCTGTAGCCATTATCTCGAGTTCATTTTTCAAATCACGTTTTTCGGCCTCTGTAGCGTTCGCTGTGAGAAAAAAAATAAGATTCAAGTATAAAATTAACTGTCACTTTTATGTAGGGAAAATGCAGATTCTGTATTCTATTTTTTATTCTTCTTTGATAACGCAGCGTCATCATTTAATAGCCTTCTGGACTTCAGCAAATCCAGGCTAATTTACCTTTAAGTTTCTTTATCGCACAGGTTGTAAATTTCCCGCTGATCCTGACCACTCCCTTGAAAACTTCACCAAATGCCCCTTCACCTAACTTCTCCTTGAACTCGACAGCTGATCTGGGAAGTTCAATCCAATTGCCGCGCTCTCCTATTACCATCTAAGGAAATCGCACTATCAGTATTGCTTACCGCAGCTACATATGTATTAAAATAACAAAAGGTAAATATCCTCCCGATTAGGCCATAGTAAAGAGGAAATGAGCCTAGAAATAATGGATTGAGACCTTCTTGGAAGCTATATGTTGGATCTTGAGGCCTGTAAGAGCAAGAAAACTGCAGAAGATTGCATTAATTTTAACCCATCCTGGTTTACCTTTTCCTTTATCTGTTGCTCTGACTGTGAGCAAGTTCGGCGAAACTTGAGGCAAACAAACAAGACAAAGAAAACAGCTAATCCAAAAGGCAAGATGATCGTAAGCATCAGCTTCTTGATAAACCTGTCTGTAGAGAAAAAAGGAATGTGAAGACCAGGAAAAATCCTGAATTTTTTCATGTTTGCCTGGTGTTCTTGACTGTCTGATTCTTCCGTATTTTTTCTTTTTTTTCTTCTTTCTCCCCCGTATTTTTGTACTCTTTGGTGTGATTAACATGGTGTTAGCGTCCTTCGCCGAAGGTTGCTTATTGTACCAATCCTTATACTAGTATCTGGATCAAACCTCAAATTCAGAGGACGTTTTTGTCGCGTTATAAGTTTATAACGTGCTATGTTTAACTTGTTTTATCTAGAGGTAAATTTGGCCTTTTTTAATGTTATCTTCATTGCGTCATCTGATAAAACGTCACAGTTGAACTACTGAAAACTACTGGAAAACGTTGATTCCGTTCTCAGAAATCCCCGCTCATATGGTCCAAACTATACTACTTTCCTTTGAAAGAATTAAACCATCAGCTGTATTTTCAGGAAAGTCCTATTCCTGTATCATTGAAGGGAAAAATGAAGTAACGATTTGATTGTATTTGTTTTCTTTTTTTCCAAAGCCATTACTTATAGGGGCACTTACTAGGTGAGGTGCTTAGCGTTAGCGATGCGCCATCATCAGATCTCCCATATTCGTTGTTGCTTGACATTCTTATCGTGTACTCTGTGGCTGGTTCTAAATCTTCCATTACCATGCCAGGTTGGGTGTATGGTAATGTTGCCACAACTGTAAAACTTTTGGCGTGTTCTTTCCTGCGCTCAACTGTGTAGTTGTGAATGTGGAAATTACTGCCATATCGTGGCCTTTCCCAGGTTAACACAATGTACTTTGACTGGACATTTGTTACCTTCAGGCTTCTGGGTGGCGGCGGTTTTTCTGTTGATAAAAATAGAGCCAAAATCTGTTCTTATTCTTCTATTAGTTTATAAAGAGGCGAATACACCTGCAGAAAATGATGACACGACTTCGTTGCGAAATGATAGTCCATTACCAGTAAGAGTATCAACCCAGGCAAAGTATTTTAAGTTTTTGAAGTGGCTTTTACTTCGGCAATATAAAAGTCGCTCAATGTGCCATGCTTATCAACATATATATTGCCCCGTTTAGAGGAATCCGGGATCCGGAAAATTTATGCTTATGGAATCCGGAATCCTGGTCTTTGGAATCCGGAAAACAGCTCAAGGAATCCAGAACCCCATCAACGATTGGTTTCCGGAGTCCAAAATCCACTGACAAAGAATCCGGAATCCACGGCGTGGAATCCAGAATCCAAGTCTCTTGGATTCCCTTACATATAACACCAGTAAAACTAAGAAACTTTGAAAAAAAGAAATTTAAAAACAAAATAAGAAGTGTGTTAAATGAGCAAAAAATTATTATCCGTTGTTGACCACTTACCATTAACAGTAACAGCAGAAATACCGAGTCTCTTTTTGAATGCAGTGTCAAATCCATCCATCAAACGAGTTGTAGCCTCAGCTTTCGAAGTATGCTCCTCAACTTTGGCTAAAACCAAAATTTCGGCCTTAACACTTCCACCACTGATGATTACATGTCAAAAATAAATTAGGCACAGTATATAAGTAAGCATCTCACTCATTAGCATGCATGAACAACGCTGAAACTTTGCTTCCTCTTCTCCTAAGAGATTTTCCTCTTTTATAGGGGATTCTGAAGAGAGAACGGCGGGCAATACGGAGGAGACACATTGAAAATCCAGTTAATAAAGTTAAAAGGTTTTGGAGGATTGGTGAGTAGGATGTGGATATTTTAAATTTGCGGATTTAGCAAAGACGACGGAACGTAAATGACGACGGTGCGCGTAGATCTAAAACAAGGCATTTACTAATAGCCGAGCGACAAACTGGGCACCGGAAGTCAGGCCTTCTATGACCTTCCCGCGCCCATTCCCGACGTCAGCTGACGTTCCCGTTCTTTTGCTAAATCACTCTTAATCTAATACACCGAGGTGTCTCCTTCCGGAATTCTTTTGTGGGAGTATCCTAATCTAAAGCCAAAAACTATCAACATCGAGCAATGGGTCCCCATCGCGACATAAGCGTCGAAGAGCATTTACGAACAATAGTTTTAATCTTTAGAATACAGAAAAGCTCTCTAATATAATGCAGTAAATTGTTTGAGAAAAAGTCTCAAATGATCAATGAGTACTGACACCAAAGAGGGATTTAATGACGTCCTGATATAAACTACCTGAAGCGTAATACTCTGACATCGTATATCTTGAGTGGAGAAGAGTCATTGAATTGGAGGTTTACCTGCAATGTTAAACGTTTCAGTCAACCAAGGCTGTCTATACGTTAGGAATCAGTTAACAAAATTAACCACCTCGCAATCGTTTACAAGTGGACAGAAACCGTCAATCGCTGTAGCTGAAGTATGTATGTGTTAAGGAAACGTACAGACCCGTATGAACTAGGCAAGCAAAATGATGAATTCCCAAACGTTTCGGTGTCTGAAGCCCGTAAGAGTCCCGTAATCGGGAGAGAACAACTCCCATAGTCGGGCCTATGTCACGGTGTTTCCACTGACCAGTCTTCTTTTTAATCATCTTTTTCCCACGAATATCCAAAGTATGAATTATACGAGAAGAATGAGACATCCCGGCTTAAGCTCACTACCTCTGGAACTAAGAGGATATCAGCACATTGCTCGGGGGTTGAGGCAAAGGTGTTATCTTACCGCAGCTGGGGTCCAAAGACTGGTACGAGGTGTTAGTCGATAGGCGACAGCAAAAAAAAAAACAACAACAACGGAGAACCGACTTTGTACTGTTTTAGTAAATGACTTCAAAAAAGCTCGTACTCACCGAAAATTGTATTTTATCTTCCATCGTTCTAAATTCGTTGCTACTGCTATTTAATAGCTCATTCTGAAATTTTGTGTTGAACATAAACGTGAAGTTTACATCACTGAGAATCTCTCCTGAAAATGAAACAAAATCTTTTATAAATTCTTATCAAGTAAAAGTTAAATCATTTCTCCAAGTATCTTGCGCACGAAAAACCATAAATCTTTGCAAAATTGCTTTCCTATTTTTCTTCTTTTATGCCTTAGATTCTTGACTTAATTTATCGAATGGTGCCCATTTTTATTTTTTATGGCGTAGTGACTGTGTAAACCAGCAATACATAAACACTTGTCTACCAAGACAAAGCTTGGAGTAGTCCGTAGAATTGTACTTACCTTCTTGCAAGGTTTTGACCACAAGGATGTTCCCAGGCTCTCCATGACCATTCTCGTTAAATCCGTTGACTTTAACCTCATACGAAGTTTGAAAATCAAGTCTGCTAATAACGCTCTCTGTGATGTTGCTGGTAACATTCAGATCACTGTACAACTGTGATCCAAGGCGTCTGTACTGTATCCGGTAACCAAGCAGTTGTTCTTTGTGTAAAGATGGAAGAATGCTTTTCCAGAATATGTAAATTGCAGTTGAATTGAAGGGGTAGCCTTGCAAAGACCCTGGGTTTTTGGGAACTGCAGGTTCAAAGATACTGTTTCAGTTACAAACTATCAAAAGCTTAATGTTAAAAACGGTGCACGAATCCCCTTCGTTATTGTTTCCAAAAGAGGATGAATGAAAATGGTAAACGTTTAGGTTGTGTTAAAACGCGTATGGTGGTTTAAGCATATTCTAACTTGGAATTGTCGCTCATAAGATCATTCTTACTATTAATTTGTTGTAACCATCGATGTCCCATCTTACAGTCATCGTGTAGACGCCTATTGACCGTTGGACTTTTTTCATACAGTAGTGTAAAAACTATAGATGGCTCTCGACCAATCAGCGCGCGAGAAATCGCTCAGTTATTGTTTTGAGAAAACCATGCCGAGGCCCACACCCAAGCTCTCTCAAGCGGGGAATGCCAAGGTTTTCCTATTGTTAATCCGAATTGAATGAGAAACAAGAAAATACTTTACATAAAGACCTCTTGGAGGACATCGGGATATGTTGCAGTATTCCCATCGAACTTTAGGATCAGCAGTGTAGCACCAAGGTCCATCCGGGGCACTAGCATGCGGGTTACGACACATGTTAGAGTCATTCTGACCATCGACAACATCTTCAGGAAATCGCCAATGACGATGAGGACATTGAGAGGTCCAAGGCTGACACGGACGGCCCGAACGGGTGATATTCACATTGCCACGATATCCAACGCCCATGCCGTAGTAACAATCTATAAATAATAAGTAGTCAGATAAATTATAATCATGAGCGTTGGTGGAAAGGAAAGGTATGGGTCGTCCCATGTCAGATAATCCGGATATTCTGGAAACTGTGAAATATTTGCTTGTAAAATCAGGAATCCTGTTCATGGGAATCCGGAATCCCGCTAACGATTAGAACGTGGAATCTGGAATCCAATTTCCATTGACATGGAATCCAGAATCCAAAGTTCTACTGACAAAGCATCGGAATAAAATCTGGGCTATTGTCTCAGAGCTCATTCGGGCTCGAGGAATAATTTTAATTTGAAATAACTAACTGATTTTCCAATCTTTGACTGTAGCAAAAGAACGAGCGTACAGCTGTAGTATAGTTTTAGTGCATATATACAGCGCGGATTTCTTAACAACACTTAATTTATCTTTGATTATTAAATTACGTTGTTGCTACATCTCTTAAATTACAGCCTTAATAACCGGTAGTGGGAAATATGAATTACCTGTTAGTGACAATCAAATTAAAGATACAGAACCAATCTACTGAAATAGACAAACATTGCTATTACAAACCTGTACTCTTAGTTTCATCACCTATCAGAAATTGATGAGAAATAACAACGTTCAGTCTTGTGTTTTTAGTTGAGACGTATGCACAGATATAAGACATATGCCTTTATGTTTGGCTGAATGTGTAAGCTTGTAACAGCGCACTTAACCAGGCACATCTCATCAATGATCAATGACATCAATGAGTAATCGATGGGTAATCATTGAGTAATCAGCTGATTAGTCATTGATTATTGCCGATGATCAATGAATAATCGATGACTAATCGAAGACAAAATATTTTGTGGCCTTTTCATTACTCATTGATCACCTATTGATTACTCATCTATTAAGAATTTCCCGCCATGGAGAAATACCCTTTAATATTGAATGATGTTTACCTGTTAATGAAGTTATAACGTAGGCGAGCTATCCCCTCTTAGACATATGCAAACAAAGCGATGCTCTCAGCAAATACCGGCATTTCATTTTTGTTTGTACGTTTTCATTAATTTCCTAATGATAACAAAACAGCTTAACGATGACAACATTGCTACAAAGATGCTGAGCCTTATGCGTATCAAGAAGATAAATGGCGTGATATTTCCTGAGGTAGCTGTTTATTTACAAAGAAAAACTAAACCTGCTTAACTTTGGAATACTACTGTCGTAAGCAGCTACAGTACATGGCAGCGTTGCAACTGGCAATCTCACTTTCATGCAGCTAGGTCTACCAGAGGTATAGGTAGCGGCGTTAAAAGGATCAACAAGTTCCGATTTTTTGGCCTTTGAATTGAAGGCAATTCCTTTATCTTTTAATAGTTCCTTCAAAACCGCTACTGTCATATTCCCTGCTGGTCCCTGTTTCATACGTTCGTTTTTCCATGTTTTTTCCTTTTTGCCGCTTCCTCGAGTTTCGTTTCCCGGCGTTCAAGTCGTTCGCGGTGTCCACCGATTAAAGCAAGTCTTTCATTATCAAGGACAAGAATGCCATCTGCCGGATGGAGTTAGTGGAATATTCTGGATGAACTGACGAGAGTCAAAAATAATATATATTTTTCAAAAGAAAAAGCTTCTTTGCTAGCTTTGTATCATTTGCGTGGTCTAAGTTGCAAACAAATACATTAGCAGCTAGTCTCACATGATCCGTTTTAGAAATTTTCCAGTCAAATGGTGAATGCGCCTTCTTTTCTCTTCCTGGAATTGTAGTGATTCGTTTAATTTGTCCAATAATAAAGTCGGTATTTTCTCATCCACATATGATTTCTTTACGCTTTAGTTTGGAGGAATTGTTATCCTCTGCACTTGAACCGGCAAACACTGCATATTGTTTTTCATGAGCAATAAAAAAATCTGTTCTGGCGTCCGGCAAACATTGCATATCGTTTATCATGGGCAATAAAAAAATCTGTTCTGGCGTCCAGTAGAAGGGATATAAAGCCTTCCATCTTGCCAACCCAAAAATTTGGCGATGTGATATATGTGGCCCTCGTGGCGCCCATACGATTGGGGATTTTGCTGAAGATGTTTTGAGCCGGATGAAGAACACCTCCCATTTATGGTTCTGTTACCGAATACCATATCTTTTGGATCGCCCTCAAGAATGTGGAAATGTCATTCTCAGCCACGCGATGATGTTGAAGAGTAATCAATGCAATCAATGACTTATCAATGCAATCGATGAGTAATCAATGACTGAAAATTTTGTGGCCTATCGATTACTCATCGATTACCTATTGATCATCGGCAATAATCAATGACTAATCAACTGATTACCCATTGATTTCATTGATGAGATACGCCTGGACTGCGTAACCCGGAGTTTAGGATTGCGGGTTCTTCTTAACGCCCGCAATAATAATAAGAATAAGAATAGGAATAGCGAATACTTGAACAGGTTGAAATACCCATCAGTGTATAAAAACACTGTTGCATTGTCAATGGGGTCCTGTTGTACCTGTTGCAAAAGGCTAGTCAAGAATAGGTTGACCTGAATATGAAAGTTAGAATAAACCGTGTTTTTGGCTATGAAAAAGGTTTACGTAGAGTTTTTAAAAGCATCCCAAGCACACGTTTAAGACTTACCTGGCAATGAGTGATACTGGTAACATTCCGGCGCTTCTCCACCAGTATCCAATGGATACGTCGAACAGTTAATCATGTTTGTGTCTAAAGCGGAATCTTTTCCCGCTATCTCTCTGAATTGAGCCAATTCTCTTGTGCACACGACGTGAAGGGCGAACACGCAGCTAGTGCGACAAATTTTGCGAGGGTAAGGTTTGCTCAAGGACGTATCGCAGAGTGGAAGGAGATAACGGCAATATAATTCTGAGATAATTGGTTTACATCGATCAGAAATTTTATACAAAGATACGTAATTTTCAAATTGTGTCGTTAATATCTTGCTTACTCTCAGATGATCTCCATTTACGTCAAAAACATATTGATTACCGACAATATTTTCACAACTTTGTCCTGTTTTATTATAAAAACACATGATGCTGTCTTTTGAGGAAGGCTGACTTCGGACTCTGCTTGGACACAGCTGGAATGAAATAAATAATAATATCTTCACAAATATGGATGAGATAGTAGGTAAAGAAAACATATTATATAATTTAAACGGGGACATTCACCTTAAACGTTAATGTCAGGAATGATATTAGAACTTTGAACGAATATTTTTTGGGGGGGGGGGGGGGAGGAGTCACGGAGGTGGTGTTGAAGGAAGGCAAGTTTGTACTTCAGTACACAAATTGGACTGTTAGGTCTTAACAGTCTGTTTTAGGTCATCTTCCCTGCTCGAGTTCACAATTTGTTGTAGATCAGTAGATATTTCAACTTGTAGCACAGTGTTGAAGACAGACGGAACTCACCTTGAATTTTTCGAATAGAAAAATGTATCTTGTGACACTAATTAAGAGAAAGAACAGCACATAAAGTCAAGGAGATCTTATCGACTGTTATATTTACAAATAAATTACTTTTTTTTTCTCACCATTTTTATGTACATTTTTGTATAACTGATGACCATTAGCTGTTTCAAGCTGCAGCTTAGTGAACGCAATTTTTTGGGACTTAAAATCTCCAGAATCAAAAGGTTCAGGGAAAATGATCATTGCGTTGCATAGTCACAGGGAAAGAGCACACCACGTTTTGACAATTTTTTTTTATCTTAAAAAATTCACCAGAAGAAAGCGAGTCGCTACTTATCATCATCACGCAGTATAATCAGATGATAACATATTCACCATAAATTACACATATATTTCTTACTTACTACAAACAAATGCGTTTATAGCTAAAACACACAAGATCGCGAAGATACGAAATTCTTCGACGGCTTTCATCAGGGCTACATCAAATCACAAATCTTTCAATCTAGAAAAAAAAGGCGAACCAAAAAATGAAGCACTTATGTTTGTTCTAAATCGCAAATTTTACATTCAAAGAGAGCCCCGTTGTTGGACCGTGTACGTTGAGTGGGGTTAGTCACGTACAAATATTTTTCGGTGGAGAATTAAGAGGAACCGGCACTTTTCGGTGGACAGAGTGTTCAAGACATAATTAATCTCTCCACAACTTTGGGTAGCAATTTGTTCCTCTCATATGTACTTAAAAATGTAAGTAAAATAAATCTTAAGAATCTCCACATCCTCCCAGAATATCATCCACAATGACCGAATAGTTAACATTTCAAATTACTGTATATTGGCCCCTTTTCAAGCATGACGCAGGCTGAGTAACAGTTGTGGTTTTTCGTGAGCCGTCTCAGTGTTCTTAAAATATTTTTGAGATTTGGAGTATTTTTGTTGCCAGAGGGTGTTGCTAAATATGGGCCATAGTTTAATTTGTTTGCATCCAAATTATAACAATACTAATGCTGCCAATTTTAACCATCGACTTGACAAAATTGCCATTTTCATCTGGGACTTAGATTTAGAAAATAGCAAAATGACTCTGTATCACCCTTATGGCTTATATATTCTGCTCTAACAGTAAATAATAACAAATCTTTGGCCAGACGATTTGTAGTGACCCGCAAGACGTCAAGTCCTACCCATTGAATTTACTCTATTGTTGAAAAAGAAAATTGTGAATGGCATCATAGTCAATAAGTCACGACAGCATGAAATACACGGTCCGTTATGACAGTGAACAGGAAGTGATGTGAGCCACAAATACAGAATTATGTCGGTTTGTTCTTAACATCATGGGAACCAAATTTAATTTAACCTTTTTGAAAGTAATGCGCACCAGTTAATTACGTTTGGGCTAGTGAAATTTGTTTGCACAAATTGCCTAACTTTAGCTGCCAGCATGTGATGTTATCAACTTGGGAGGCAAAGGCAGTCACCACCGTGACGTTTGCCAAATTGCAATGAACCTTTACTTGAATTTCTTTGAGAACTGTTGGCTATTTGAGAAGCTACATCAAGCACTCCATAATCAGTGTTTCATGTAGTCTCCAGATACCTGGAAGATGGTTTAAAACGTTCAACTGCACCTCGATTTTTCAGTCCACTTCCTGGTGTCTAGATATCAGCTCTTCAGTTTTTGCAGTGAATTCGGCAAGGGAAAGTTCGATTATATTGTAGCAGACCACATTGTTTTTATATCGGGAAGTGGATAACAAACCTACCTTTTTAGCTGGCTTTTGTTGCAATAGGCATCTTTATCTTATGAAAGAATTCCGGCAACTTAGCATCAAACAATTTTATAACTTATTAATGAAGGTCGGGTTACGTTAACTCTGTTCGGATCACCTCATTTACATTTATAAAATAACTAAGATAGTACGCACACTCTGATTGGCCGAGAGGCGTGTTTGCTTGAGAGTATGTAACATGGTTGTAACGTCAAGATGTTTTGCTTTTCAGGCGCTAATCACGCAAGCACGAATTTGAAAAAGTTTTTAAGTTGAAAACTTGACAAGTTTACTTTATTTACCCATTCCCTCGTCGGCTGAAACTTGCAAACATACTGTGTCAATTCTTTTTTTCGCTTAAGCTGACATTTAAGCAAGAAAAATTCCTTTTTTTTAAAGCATCTTTTTTTGCAAACCAAGAACTGATGACGCGAGCAAGCCGTTCGTGTACACGACCTCGCGACTGGTAAGAATTTATCTTTTAATCAGTGCCATAACAAACAGTTTGAGTTTTTTCTCGGTAAAGTTAATTTACAAATGCAAGAGAAAACTTTTTTCCTGTATTTGCATAGCTTGGTATAAATACTGGAGGGGTTGGGAGAATTCTCGACAGTTATGCAAGCCCCAGACAAACTCGAGGGTTTGCATAACTGTCTCGAATTCTCCCAACCCCCGGCTCTTGTATATAACAGGCTATGCAAACACGGAAAAATAGAGAATAGATATGTAAATACGTTTAGACCTGCTTGATCACAAACACAGGATGTTATCAAATGTATTAAAGCCACACAAAAAAGCTGGGGTCAGGGGTCATTCATCAAGGGCATTTTATCACTGATGTGAATATCGCACAAAACATAATCTTGTAACTTCCACAATGACGTATAAATATCTTCTTCTCAAAACTTTAAAAATCGCAAAATTTCTTTCTAGTGCCGAATTTTGTCCTCACATCCTTTTATCCTTTCTTCTTATTTTCAAACAAAGGGAACAGACGCCACAGTGTTGTTTGTCTTTTTTTTTAGCTTCTGGATATTTCTTAGTCATCCGTATATTAGCCTTGTACAGCTTCCAGGCTGTGCGACTAGCTTTCAGATGCTAAATCAAGCTTTAAAGAAAGCTACTTATTTCTTTCATATTAGCCATTTTCCATAGTCAAACTTGCCAAATTTGGCACGAAACAGGTTTGTAAAGTGAAAAAGAAGAAATTCCGATTGTTTATGTCAGAGTTGCTGATTAATGATTGAACAGGAGACTGATTGTGAAGGCCACCAAAAATTAATAGCGTTAATGACCGTTTTCAAGTTAGAGACGGATTATCCGTCTCAGGGACTAGCTTGCGTAGTTGGCGGTTTTTGTTTGCGAGCGCGCTTACGAGTGGCGAGGCCGCAAGGGAAAAGGAAAGGGAATGAGGCTCTCAAACAAAACCGCCAGTCACGCAAGCTATGTTAACGGATACGCCGTCTTCATATACAGCTCTCAATAACAGTAATTTACTATCCTATGAAGTTTCTTGCAGCAAATTATGTTTTTAGTTTGAAACGGATCCGAAAAATGCCGGTTATATCGGCTGATTCGGCTCACTGTTGTTTCAAATGCTTGATTATTAACGGTTGATATCAAATCCGCTCAACGTGCAGCAAAACATGCACTTTCTTTTTTCTTCTCGGCACCTCTTCCCTCTTTTGAAAAGTTTGCTTTTCGAAGGCGACACTAGTAATCGATAAGATATGGGCTGCAATGTTACAAACCGGTGGCTTAAGGTTATACGACTTTTATTAACTGACTCACGATAATCCCCACTGCACATATGGGCGTGCCTATTCTTTATAACTGTACACGCTCAGGGCAAATTTGCTGTTTGAGACAAAAAGCTAGTGGATTGTATTTAAGTTAAAGGGGTATCAAAGCTAGTTGACAGACCTGCGTATTACTGGTTTGAACGTGACGTCACGGAGGCCATGTTGGTGGGAACGTAACTCCATGTTTTGTTAATTCATCGAAAAAGTTTTTAGTGTATTGTCCACCAACATGGACGCCTTGTGACGCAGTTGTATACAAAGAATAAGCTCACAGAGATTTGAACTTAGAACCTGGTTCTATTTTTTTGTTCTGTAATTTTGTCAAACGTCTTCTGATCCCTCACTATTATTTTCTTTGTGATTTTCTTCTTCCGCATCTAGTTCCGATCCCATATTTGTGTTTACTGGTGGTCGGTATTGAGTGATTCCATCTCTCAGGTTGATGCTCATGTCATCGTTATTCAGGTCATCGGTTTCCAACACCAGATTTGTGTGTATTTGAAATTCACTCCCAGTTGTCCCATCAGCTAGATTAACCCTGATGGTAAAAGAACAATAAGCATTTTGTTGAAGGTAAAATAGTTACAGGCACCTTTTGCAAAATGCATGGGTCAATCTATGTGACGTGTAGTTTTTAGGAACGTTTAGCAACGGCTGATGACAAAGAAAAATGAGAGAACAAAGACGTCTTAATAACAGAACACCAGTGTGGAACTCCTTTCTCGCTCAGTGTTGGCAGGGTTCTATCTGGGGTATTTGAGGGGTAGAAGCTTTGCCCCCCCCAAAAAAAAAATGCCCAGCTTCCCCCCAAAAAATATTGTCAGTTATCATTCCAGTATATATTAAGTAACTATATCAGAAAAAACATCCAGACGTCACGACGTCAGTGCACACACTGTAACATTTCTCAAAATTGAGTCTCAAAATGCACCAGACTGCATCTCAGCGCATATTGAATTATTCATTTCAAGAAATGTCCGGGGACCCCCCAGGAAGCTCGTGGCCTTCGCCCATTCGGGACGTCTCCCCCTCTGTATTCAGAGCACATTTATGGACGTCATTTGTAAAAAGACGTTCAGCAAAATGGAATGTTTCTTAAAGAAGCTAGGTAATAGTCTTTACATCCCCCCTACCCTACCACATACCACTTGGTAGCATCTAGATCTTCGTTAGGCGTTCCTCTGTTTCACCAAACTAAAATCTTGATGTTTCACGATTCAATTAAACATATATTTGGAGCACCTTGCAAAAAAGGATCAGAATGTCGCTACAATGCTCTTGAAGAAAAACAAAATGTAACCATAAGCGTATTACATATATTCACCGAATTGCTTGCAGTGCTTGATCCAGTGAGGCGACAATCTCGCTGAAGGAGGGGCGTTGTGAGGGATCTGGATGCCAACATGCCATCATCATCTCAAGACTACAAAAGTGAAACAAAGTACCATCATTTTGCCACTTCATGAGTTGTTTTGTATTAGTTTGCCTAAGTTTCAACTTCTGGTCAAAAGCTTAGTAGTGAGAAGGTGTAAGCTTCCATCCAAGAAGTAACATATAATAATCAACTGTTCGTGCGGTCAGAGTTCATAATAAAAACTCTTAGAAATAATAACTATAAAAAACTGAATTTTCGACAGCCTTTCGTACCTCGGCCAGCGTTTACACGCCGTACTTTTCATGCGCCGAACGTAATTGAATAAGTTCGACTTTGGAGCGACACTGGCGCGATATCTGATTCAAAGGGTGCACCGTATGTCGAGCCAAGTTAAGTTCGACAGACTCTGTCGAACTTAACGCATTGATTCAGACACCGCTCTTTTGCCATACTTAATTCATCAGTTAGGTTTGGCTCATGAGTGGAGCGGCGACTGAACCAGGCCTAAAATGGTCAACGTTTATGATTTATCAAAAGAATCTATAGACCGATGATGTTTCGTACATATTATTCGGGCAGCTATCCGGTGGTTTTAATCGTCGTCCTGATTTTAGAAAGTCCACTAACTCCATACCAGCCAGACCTGGATAAGGCTTCGCACCTGAATTTAAAAATGACACCATTAAACAAAATTAATAATGGCAACGTTACTATAGAAATACGCGTCTTGCAAAACCTCGTGAGCCTCGGTGTGAATAGCGCCGCTCAGAACAACATTAAATAACAATTATTCCCCGAAGTGGGGGTGGCTAGTATTGGATATTTACTATATCCAATACTAGCCACCGACAAAAAACAGTGAGATAATTGAGCACAAAAATGATGATTTTTAACTCATTTACTGTTGCCAACGATTACAATTTTGGCGCGCGATGACCGAACGGTCGCGGTCGTCGCTTTTTCTTAGCGACAAATAAAACTTTTGAAGGCGTTTGTTTAGCTCTTGCGGGGAAGTTTCTTCAAAAGGAGTTGTGAATTCTTTTTGTATTTACAATAATTCTCTAAAAAAGGTTATTAAATTTAGTTTTAAGCTTATTTATGAACAAGTCAACTAAATAAAGTAACGCAAGACTTAAGCTTAATTTGCATTTGTAAACAAAAAACTTTTTCACCGGTTTTATCGATAAATTCAAGTCAAAAAGACAAAAAGCTTTACCTGTTAAAACTTCCAAACCGAACTTCGTCACCTTCTTCATGTATTTCGGAAACAGCTTGCTTGATTAGTTGTGAAATGTCTTAGTTTGTTACGGCATTTTGCTCTCAACCTACGCGAGTTTGGCGTCGCTCACTCGGAGGAACTGGAGGTGAATCAGTGAATAGTGCAGGATATTCACTGATTGAGTAGCCAATCAGAGCGCGCGAAAAACACTATCCACTGTTTTAGTATATACTAAAACAAATTATAGAATTTTTTTCTTGGCATTTTAGATCTTATTCTAAAAAGACAAAATAACTGGAGGCAAGAAGGTTTCGAAGCGCGGGATTTTCTACTCTCGTAGTTTTTGTTTGAGAGAACTAATGAATCCGGCAGTCTTGCGTTACCAGTTTACTCAATAACTTCCACCTGTTCTTATACCTATCATTTGCTGTCACACACACACAGACGACACATGCAGTTAGTTAATAAGTACCTCCAGATTCAATTTCCCACAATGTTACACCGAATGACCAGCTGCAAAGAAAAAAAAGCAGTTTAACGCTGTGTTTTTTGTTTAAATTAATGTGTAAAATACAGCCTTGTCCAAGTCACGAAAGCAGCTTTGAATTCGTTGGAGAGATATTGCTCCTAATCGCTGTCCTAAAGTACAAACCTATTCCTTTTCTTGATTTTGAGTTGCACTCTCCTCTTCTGTTGACGAAGTCTAACTAAGTATACCATCGATAAAGCACGTGCTTTCTGAGATATAATAAATTCATTCCAGTCAGTCATAAAGTGCACTTCTGTGAAGGTTAACTAAAAATAAAGTAAACTGAAAGGAAAATGGAAAGGCCTTTATGGTGTTTTTTTCTTTGTCTTTGAATTTCAGCGTCGAGCAAAACTTGCTTACACGTCAGTCTTGGTGCTGTAGGTGTAATCCACAAGAGATTCAAGTGCCATCCAACGAACTGGTAGCACACCCTGGTTAAAAATGAAAGCAGAAAAAAGGTATTAGATTCTTATTTGAAAATTAATGCACTTATGGCGTCATATCTCGTATCCATAACAACCGACTGTCACCACACATTGCCAAATTAATTAACGTTGAGAGAAGATGCTCTGGGAGGATGGTAGAGGCATCTAGCTTACCTCCCATCTTGTTATTCCTGGCATTTTCTTGGCCTTAGCTTATTGAAATCTGCACAGAAAATTGAAACATACCCCAGTTGTGTTCTCATAAGCGCCGCTTTCGTATACGTCACGTGACAAGCCGAAATCAGAAACCATAGCAACCAATTTGTCGTCAAGTAGCACGTTTCGCGCTGCAAGGTCACGATGAATGCACTGAAAAACAAGCACATTTAAATTGTCCATTTTAGTTAATCTCCATTAATTTGTAATTAAAAGTGAAGAAATAAGGAACTTTTATTTCGAAGTAAAGTGGAATTTTAAGTGTCTAGAATGATGATGATGATAACGATCATGAACATGATCATGATTATAATTATTTACCTTTTTATTTGAAAGATGCAACATTCCATTGGCAATATCACGTGCGATCCGCACTCTCTCGTTGACGTCAAAATTTATTTCACAGCCAGGTTTTGCGACGTTGATATACCGATGTTCCCTGCTTAATTTCTGTAGATGATTTAACAGACAGCCGTTCTGAGCTAGGCTAACGACAACCAGTACTGGTTCTGAATGTGAGGAAAATTTTAAACATAAAGTTAAAACTGTCACTCCCAATACTTCAGTGCCAAACCCCAAATTCAAAATAGAATCCTAAAACTGATTTTGCAAAATACAGCAGTTTCTTGAATTAAAAAAAGGGCGAGGCCATTTTTCAAAGGAAAGCAATGAATCGAGGGGCGTTTATTAACTTTTTCCTCAAGGGGCTTGAACTATTTTGGCAGATAATGGATAAATGTATAATAGTATGAAAAAAGCTGTGCGAGTATATAGAAAAAGAGATAGCTAGAACTAACTTAAAGGAGTCGAAACTGTTCTCTGATACTGATGCCGATCCGGAGCTAGCTAAAAAGGGTGATGCATGTGTAGGGTGGTTCATTAAACCTATTGCTTTTTTTAGTCTTAATGTTGGCGTCGCTGTCGTGGTTGCTTGCACTCCCTACTTTGAGCTAAGCTGACGTGCACGCCTTGGGGCCGGATCTAACCAGACTACCATCCCGCCTGAAAACACTCCCATTGTAAGGTATATCTCGTACCTTCTTCTGTGCAGGCCCCCATGAGAGTTACTAGGTTAGGGTGTTCACCCGCTGTAGCCATTATCTGGAGTTCGTTTCTCAAGTCACGCTTTTCTGCATCCGTAGCGTTTGCTGTAATTTGAAGGTTTCAGTCTTTGTTTAGATAGGCATCAAAATCAATTGCAGTCTTAATGGTGGATCCAGGGGGGAGGGACCGGGTCCTGACCTCTCCCCCGCCCCATTAAAACAACCATCAAACTGGGAGATAATTGTATGTAAGTCATGTAAGGGATTTGTGAATGAAATTTGTACCTCTGGAGGTTTGAGTATACAGGTCATTAAAAGGAGGCGAAGAAAAATCTAAAAATTGTCAACGGCGAGTTCGGGTATAACTGAATTGACTTTAATACAGTTTTGATTCTTTACACAATTTCACCTCCACCCACCATGTCGAAAATTCCTAGATGAGCGTCCCGACGAAGTGAAAGTATAAATTTGTATATAATGTTAATGCAATAAAAGTTTTAAATGCTACCCAAGATAGGGAAATATTAAGTAATGCCAAGAAAATAAAAAGACAGACATGAAAGAGAAAATATCAGTTACTGTCACGTTAGAAAAACAAAATAAGGACAAAAGATCAGCGTCCCACTTTATTTTTCAGTTACTTCTCTGTGGATTTTATAAAAATAAATAGTTCATTTTGGGTTCATACAGGAAGGTATTTTTAACAGACTTTAGCTTACGAAAGCTGTCAGGGCCCCAAAATGAAATTCCTTTAATTTGACTGACGCCGTTAGTTATCAATTATTGCGTCATCAGATGTCATGTGAACATAATTACACCTAGAAAAAACAATGTTTTCATAAAAAATAATGATCCCCATTTACCTTTAAGTTTCTTTACAGCACAGTTCTTGAACTGCCCACCGATTCTAACCACACCTTTGAAAACTTCACCGAATGCCCCTTCACCTAACTTCTCCTTAAACTCAACCGCGGATCTGGGTAATTCAAACCAATAGCCACGCTCTCCTAGTACCATCTAAAGAAACCACAAGTACACACTCAGGCAAAACATTTCATTTATGTTAAAGATTAATATCTTTCCAGCTAGGCTTTAATTTAATTAACAAATAGACAACAACTTATTTTCCATGGTCTGCACTCTTGTAAATAATATAGAAATGGGGTCAAAAATTTCTAAAGCTGAACCACAAGCTGCAAGCCACTGGTGTCACTGCAACGTTTTTGACAATCGCCTAACATAAATTTACGATATTCAATACAACCTTAACTATTACAAACATCAAGCTATATGCAAAACAAAAGTAGAAATAGTAAATTCTGTACTTTTTAAGTTAACCCCTTCCACGCAATTTGAATTACGCAACAAACTGGAGTGACAAAATGCTTATTTGCCGGGCATCAAAACATGGCTGGAGAACCCTTACTTTACCTTTTCGCATATTATTTTTTCTGGCTGTGGGCAAGTTGGGCGAAACTTGAGGCAAACAAAACCAATGAATAAAACAGCTAAACCCAAGGGTAAGACGATCGTCAGCAGCAAATTCTTGATAAACCTGTCTATGGAGAAAAAGAGGACAGTGAGGGTAAGAAACAAACCTGTGACGTTTCTTGTTCGCATGGGGTTCTAGACTGTCAAATATGGTTTTTCGAAGTGAATTAAGTAATTCAAAAGACGTTATTCTAAGATTAAGGACGTCATAAATTAGTACTGGTTTTCTCCTTGATAGCTATAGGGTATATTTTTCATAAAAAAAACCAGGCTAATTTGGTTCCTACTATACTACTACGGCTCCCCTTGCAGAAATGTAATTGGTTACCACTTTGTACATTTGTTCAGACTGAATGAAAATAAAAAAAATACCGGTCCCCTTTCACTGCTAACAGTGGCTACTATGAAAATCATTGAAAGATCCCACATTTCATGTTGTAAAATGCATATAAACGAATGGCATAGCGCTAAAGTACAGCTTGAGATGATTTATTTGAGTAGTCACGTTTGGATTTCATCCACAGACTCAAAAGTTAGAATTATCTTATACAGCATAATAAACAGTACCACAGGAAAGTACAACTCAGTAGCTTTCATTTGAATGGTCACACCATTGGAATTCACCCAGAGATTCAAAAGTTTGAACCACCTTACACAGCATAATGAGCAGTACCACAGAAAACTGCTGCTTAGTGGCTTTGATTTTACGAATGGTCATACCGTAGGACTTCGTATACAGAGTCAAAATTTAGAGCTTCATTTCTATCCTGTATAATTGAGAGAGCCCTTACCAGGTAAAGTTCTTTGCTTTAACAAAGTGCCATCATCAGATGTCCCATATTTGTTGCTGCTTGACAACTTAATCGTGTACTCTGTACCAGGATGCAAATTCTCCATCACCATTCCAGTTTGAGAATATGGCAGTGTCTTTACAGGTGTGAAGTTATCGGAGCCTTCTTTCTTTAGTTCAACTATGAAGCTGTGTATGTGGTAATTACCGCCAAATTTTGGTTTATCCCAGGTTAATATGAAGTAACGTGTTTGGATATTTGTTACCCTTGGGCTTACAGGCGGCGGCGGTTTTTCTGTTGGTTAAAAAAACAAATCCTTTAAGTTTCCTAAATCAACGATTGAAGGTACCGAAGAACCTAACGCTTACCTTTAACCCTACATCTGGCGTAGTCACTCGATCGTAGTTGATGGTTATGAACAAGCTAACAGGCACTAAATGAGGCAGGTACTCAATGAGTTGTATACCTGAGCCCGCGATAAAGTCATATGACACTGATCAGCGGATACCCTTTTTGACAGCTGTAGATTGACCATAACATGGATGTACAATACCAACTCAGTAAACACAGTTAAAATATGCCTGGGACTCCTAGCGATTAGGTCTCCACATCCGCTGCCATGATGGGGTGGACGTACGTTCGTGCGAACGATTTTTTCAAAATTAGATTCATAGGTAATCAAATTTCCTTATCCATGGTGCTCCGCTGCACGAGACCTCCGCTATGATCAACAATAAAAAACAGCGACAGACAAAGCAGGAAAACAAATCTGCATTTTAGACGGATAAATATCACCATGATCTATAATTGACCACTAACCTTTAACAATGACAGCAGAAATTCCGAGTCTTGTTTTGAACGACCTGTCAAATCTATCCATCAAACGAGTTACAACCATCGCTTTCATGGTATGCTCCCTTACTTTGGCTAATACTAAGATGTCGGCCTTTACACTTCCTTTACTGAAAATTACCGAAGAAGAAGAACGTAAGTTAAGCATTGCAAATAAATGTATTTAAAGGTATTTAAAGGTATAAAGGTATTTTTCTAGTGGTGATGGTGGTTTTGGTGGTGGTGGTGGCGATTTGGGTGGGGGTAGGGTATGGAATGACTATCAAGGATCCTTTCTACTAAGGCATTATCTTAGGGTTCTTACTTTTTATCAGAACTGCCCACTGGACCGGTTATTTCGGAGGGAAAATGAAATATAGATAATATTAAGCCTTTTTCTGGAAAGCCGATCACTGCCATGCAAGCTATTTAGAAATAGACTAAAAGTCCTGCTTAACAGTGGAATTCTCTTTACGACTTAACTGAGGCAGTTCTGACAAATGATTAGCGCCTTTAGTCTAGAAAACCCGTGTCTAGATCCACATACATGGTCCTGACCAATTCTCGTCAATTAACCCAAAACTGACAATGGTTTGTTCATTGTTCATCAATTGTTGTTCGAATGAAGGTCAAAGATAATTGGTCTACCTGAAACGCAGTACTCTGACCTCGTATATCGTAAATAGAGAAGAGTCGTTGAATTGGCGTATCACCTGAAACGTTAAAACATCTAGTCACTCGCGTGAGACATAGTTAGTACAGTAGAATGGCCATGAAAGGCGGCAAACATCAAAGATAATTGCTGGTAGCTCCCTGATGGTGCCAAATCTTTTTTTTTTATTATTCACATATTATGATGGAATAAATTAATGCGATGTTTTTATTGGTCAATAAGATCAAAATAACAATAATGTTGGGCGCCATCAAGTTGACAAAAAATATAACAGAAATCTTAGTAATGAGAAGCTGAAAAACTCCTACTCACCGACAATCTAATTTTTTCTTCCATTGTCTTAAACTTGTTGCTACTACTATTTGATAGCCCACTCTCAAAAGTCGTATCGATTAGGAACACAAATTTTACGTCACTGAGGATCTCACCTAACGATGGCAAAAAATTGTAAGTGCTCAGTTATCAATGAACTAGTAAAACGGGACAGACTTTTAGAAAACAATGGTTACTGCGAAAAAGATTGTATAAGCTCGCAGATTTACTTACTTGCAGGGTGTTAAAGGTATAATTGTTTCTCTAATTGTGCATGTGTTTGGTTTTCATCGTCTTTAGCTCTGTTGTATTAACGCAACCCGGTTTTATAAACATGTGCCACACCACTGCACTAATACATAGGATGTGTGACCTAAAATGGTCGGTAATTTCTTTCAGTTTGGTATAAGGAGAGTCAGAAGGTCCACTTTTGCTGGATACTTCTCCTTTTCTGAGAGGCTTTCTTCCTGATTAGCACTGAGCCGGATCGGTTTTGTTCCCAGTAAATTTTGACGTCATCTGTGGTAAACGTTAACGATAACCACGCTAGTGATCGCTTAACACAGGTTTGATTTGACCATAATTCAGTGGCGTAAATAAAAGAATATTAAGTGAATACTAAGATAAAACATGGCGTCCACGACATTATATTCTTACCCTCTTGAAAGGTTTTGACGACAAGGATAATTCCAGGGGGTCCATGACCGATTTCATTAAAGCCATTTACTTTAATCTCATAAGTAGTTTGGAAATCTAGTGTGCTAATAACAGTCTCTGTGATGTTGCTGGTGATATTCAGTTCACTGTATAACTGGGATCCAACGCGTCTGTACTGTATCCGGTAGCCCAGCAGCTGTTTGTTATGAGACGATGGGGGAATTCTCTTCCAGAATATGTAGATTGAAGTTGAGTTAAGCGGGTAGCCTTTTAAAAAGCCTGGAGTTTTGGGAACTATAGAGGTAAAGATAATTAGAGACTATATGAAACAGAAGCTAAATATTCAAAAGCCGTTAAGTTAGCTAAAAATTATTGATAATGAATATGAAATATGAATTTTAACAATAAACCGTTCTAAACGTTTTTTAAAGTATGTCCTGTCAAACTTGCATCCTCAAAATGAAATAGGCTGGTCAGTGCCGTCCTTATATATATTATATATTTTTTGTACTAAACGTAAAAGAAACAAATCCATTTGATGGAATGACTGATTTTTCTTAAGTCTTCGCACATCTCATTTCTTTGAGACATATAAATTCTAATTTTCTGAGCTATCCGATGTAGCTTTCTCTTTCTTCTAAAATTATAGCAGAGTAAAAATCATAGATCACTTGTGTTTCCAGTGAGGCTATAAGACGAAACATTCCTTCATTGGCAAAAAGTCTTCGCGCGATCTCCTCTTCAAGAAATACCCAGTCTTATATTTTTTCACTCCGGCTAAAGGAACATTTTAGAGTCTTAGGAGCTACGTTAAAAATAATACCTCTTAGAGGGCAGCGGGATATGTTGCAGTATTCCCATCGAATTTTAGGGTCAGTGGTATAACACCAAGGTCCATCCGGGGCACTAGCATCCGGGTTACGACACATGTTGGAGTCATTCTGACCATCAACAACATCCTCGGGAAATCGCCAATGTCGGTGAGGGCATTGGGACGACCACGGCTGACACGAACGACCCGAACGGGTAATATTTACATCGCCACGATATCCAATGCCGATGCCATAGTAACAATCTGTAGTATGTTATAAAATAGTGCTAATGGAATTGTGAAATGATGTCACTCTTCCCGGTTGAACTTTATTATCATGCTATGTTTGATTGCGCGTATTGAGTGCAGAGTCTATAAACTCTCTCAAGTCTTCACCTATGCACGAAACATACGAAGCATAAGGCTCTTCAAATTGTAGGAAAGTTCTTCTTTGAGCTGGCAAATTTGCAAAATCGCCTTTGACGGCTCGAAATCATCGTTTTCTACTAGTTTCACGGTACTGATCATGACTGCGATATTTTGGAGCTCCCACGTTGAAAATCTGAATTTGGCTTTATCCCAAAAGAATGATAGGGAAGAGTGAAGAAAACTGCCTATTATAGAATAAAAGCAACAGAACTCAAGACAGGGGCACAGTTCAAATTTTGGAAAATATCTGTTCGGAACACGATTTGAGATCTAGAATTTTCGGAACATTTGTTGTAAAATTTCTTGCTTGCCTGCCTCTCTAAAAAATGGTATAATTTTCCATTTTTACCTGATTTTTAGCCTTTAAAGGTCACCTAGAATTTTCGGGAGCCTTTTTTGTGCCTGAAATTTTCGAAAAGCTAAGTTTTGATCCGTGTAACTTTCGGCTCATTAGACTTTCAGCTAGAAAATCCGAACAGATGAAAAATTTTTAGGGGATAATAATATGCCTATATCTACCGTTTAAATACTAAAATACGTTTAACAATGCTATGTTTAAGTGGTTTTGATCCATATTCTCGTTGGGTGCCCCTGTCAAGAATTGCAAGAGACAATCATTTACAATATTATTCAGTTACAAACCTGTCGTCCTGGTATCATCACCTATAAATTACAATAAATAGCCTTTAGATCCATAAATTTTGTTGTTGACACAAGCAGAGAGTACCATCTAGCCATTACGAGGCAGTGTCGTTAAGATCGTTTACCACTAAAGGCAGACTAGGAGACGTACAATTGCTTCTAAGTCGATTTAAATGTTCTTAAAACATAGCCAGTCTTAACTTCTTAGTGATGCTGACAGTTTCGAAGACTGTCAGCCATCTTTATCAAAACTTGAAAGAATCGACTTATTAACTTCACTAGCCTAATTAATTTCTTCACGAACAATTGCTTCTGTTATAACTTGTAGCCTAGTCAGCTGTACCAACCGAGTTAGTTCGATTATTATTTTTTTTTTCAGTAAGCCTGGGGAACACTTGACGTGATAGTAACGAAATTGGCTACCTTTCTTTCCCCCTCTCCTTTTCCATCACCAAGATAATTTTTAACAAGATTCGTGTTTCATTCAAAATTGCTGGGATGTGAAGGGATCGAATAACGCACCCGACGACACTGCTCAGTAATGTTTTAGTAGGAGCGCGAGGACTGTCCTGTGTAATAATTCCTTGAAAGGTCTTCCCTAACTATTCAAGCTCTGTTGACCTCCGTGGTAGGTATGTGAGATCCAAAAGGACATCATTTCTTAGACCCTTTGCACCGAGATGAAATTAGAGAAAGAGTACAATTTGTTCACTCTTATCTGAAACCAAAAGTCTGAAATCGAGTGTGATTTTAAGAAAACGCAATGTTTTTATTTTCATTCATTTTTAAACCTTTTTAACAATGTGAACCCTAGCGTCCAACGCAGGCGTTTTTACGGGAGCTCGTATTTCGTTCCAAATACGAGCTCCCCTAAAAACGCTTGCGTAGGAGGCTATGTGAACCCAAACTAAGTTTCTGTTAGCTGTGAACACGCACTTAACGTGTTGGTAAGTGTTGCGACTGAATTTTTGAGATCAGGTTTGAAACACACATACTTTGGTCTTAAATAAAATAAGGATTTAACAACGTATGACGCACACCACCAGTCCCTTCCTTCAAACAAATTTTTGGGAGTTCCCTCTTGGAGATTGAGACGTACCTGGTAACGAGTGATACTGGTGACATTCTGGTGCTTCTCCTCCGCCGTCCACTGGATAAGTCGAACAGTTAATCAGGTTTGGATCGAAATCGGGATCTCTTTGTGCTATCTCTTTGAACCTAGTCAAGTCGTCTTTACATATGACATGTAGGGCAAATTCACACGACTTGCGACAGATATGGCGAGGGTAAGGCGTGCTGAGAGTCGTATCACAGAGAGGAAACAAATAACGGCAATACAAATCTGCGATAATTGATTTACATCCTTCAGAAAATGGATAAAACGGTATGTAACGTTCAAACGATCGAGCCAGGGTTTTACTGTGCCTCAGTTTATCGCCAAATTTGTCAAAGATAGATTGATTACCGATCACGTTTTGACAACTTTTTCCTTCGTCCTTGTAAAAAATACACGATGACTTCTTTGAAGAGAGGGTGACTTTGGGCTGCGCCTGAACACAACTGCAAAAAAAAAGAGGAGTGATAGATCATGAGAGTTTAACTAGTTTTCTGCATCATAAAGTAGACAAAAATCACTTTTGTTCTGTAAACAACCAGTAGTCGAGCTAACCCTTGCATCGCACCAATTAGAGGCCAGCATTTAGGTTAGTTCTGATTGGTCGAGTGCCATAACAACCAGCATATCTGTTATCAAAAACACCGTGCTTTACGTTCGCATAGTTTCCCGTTATTTGACGACTCTGTGTACTAACCTGGAATTGTTATCCCGAGAAAATGTAGCCTGTGATACTAAAACAAAAGCAAAAAGGTTAACATTTTAGAAGAATTCTCTTGCCAGCCGTGTGAGGCAAACGTAGCGGGTAACCTATTTATGACTAGTATCTTGTTGAGCCTCCATCGATCGATGTTCTGTCCAGGGGTTAATTTAGGCTAATCAGCCACTAAAACCGTGACTGGCAAATTTCAAATACCGCATGAGGATCAAACTTTGCTATCACCTAGCTCTTTACCTTGAGAAATTGAGAAAAACATCTTCCCTGTCTCGTGCTGTTTCTCCATACTTCCCGTGTCCTTGCATCCCCGTAACTATTTAAATTATTGCCCTGTGGGGTGCCACCATATATGGGATTATGCAGCTACGTGACGCTGTGTCGCGCAAGGTTTTCAAACAGGTAGGCTCTCGACAAGGTATCGTTTTTCAGTGTTATGAGGAATAAGTAGACTTTCTACAGGTTAATAGTTGGCAGGCTACAGGGAAGCTATAAACATAAGTTGTACGAAGACCGTTTGATTAGCTGCAAAACAGAGGATCTGAGTAATATCACAATAAGCTACCCAAATGGGTTCTCATTTCCTTTGATCAGCTCAGCCCAGGTTTTAAAAAAACAGGCCAGCCTGTCCTGACGGAATTGTCAAACGGGCGATGACGAGCAAAAGCTGGTGACGAGTAGCTCTGGTAGCTGACATTACTGGCCTTCCCATTAGATTACAATTTGATAGAAAGCTTATTACAAATATTTCGCAGCAAAGAATTTCACACTTACAGCCATAGTAATACGCGTGTAGAACAACTGAGCTGGCGATCATTAAACGAAGTACATCAGTGGTGTTCATGGGGACGAAATCAAATCACACACTATGCAATATAAACATGGAAAAAACGGTAAGTCGCTGGGTTATAACCATACACCAAATTGTCTGTGATTGTAATTATCTCTTTAAAAGACAGGGGCACCCAACGACAATTTTCGGAAAAATATCTGTTCGGAAGACGATCTGAGATCTAGAATTTTCGGAACATTTGTTGTAAAATTTCTTGCTTGCCTTCCTCTCCTAGGATTTTCGAGCATATAAAAAATGGTATAATTGCCTATTTTTAACGGATTTTTACCCTAAAAAGGCCACCTAGAATTTTCGGGAGCCTTTTTCTAGCTGAAATTTTCCAAAAGGCGAGTTTTGATCCCTATAATGTTTAGTGGTTTTCAAAACCCCCCTGAAAAGAGAGGTTTCCGCATATCTATAACAGAGGCCTTCTGAATCCTCTACCGAGTGCGGAATGCATTAAATGCTAGTGCGTTGACCTCGATCTATCTGTGATTACGAGAATGCAGTTAAAAGAGTTTTTCTTAATTGGTGAACACTGACCAGCTTAATTGGCTCAGATAAGTTAACATGTAGACCAATCTATCAGGAACTAAGTTTATTGCAAAGATTACTGCTTATTACTGCCGGTTTACGTGACAGTTATTTATAGGTTATCCGTGTGTTCTCCCCTATCAATTTTGCGAAGTTTTATTTTGAATTTCTTGGGAATTGTTGATCCTTTGCCAAGCTATCTCAAACACTATCAAGAGTGTTTCATCTCAATTATCTACTAGACTCGTTGAAGTTGGTTTCAAGGAGGTTATCCTTCACTGATTTCCAGCCCATTTCTGGAGATCAAATATAAACAGTTCCTACTCACACGTTGTAACATGGACCCTTGTTTTCGGAATTTCCTTATATTTTTCTAATAAATCAGTGATTGGATTCATCTAACCATAGTTTCTAACTATCGGAAGGTAGCTTACAAACGTACCTTTTTAGCTGGTAATGTCGTGCAATAGATATCTCCGTCTTGCGAGACAATTTGTCATGAACATTAGAAAACCCGGGTGCAACAAACAGGGTGTAATGATCAAAAGGTGATATGCTTAGGGTGTTGCTAGGGTAATAGCCCTCTACGACATATGATGACGTAATAATGCAAAGCGGAAATACAACTCGAAATTTAAAACTATAGTCAAAATATCTTCGCTCTACCTACAGAGACTACAGAAGCAAAGAGTCAGTAATAGTCAAGTTGAGTCATTTTATTTCGACTGTAGAATTAAGTTGAATGATCTGTTAGATTCTTGGAATTCGTACAAGGCTGGCCTTGCATAGTCTGCTACACAGCCGTTTTTAATTTCGTCACGCAACACTCCTACCCACAAACGGCTGCTGAGAACCGAACCACATTCCTTTCCCTTTGTGTTTGTGGTCTGACGAACAACCCAATCCTGTATAAGAAACTTGACAGTACGTGAGCTGCAGGGCAGACTAGGCCTTGTAAAGATCGTCCCTATTAATATCAAACACTGAGCTGTTTGGTACGTTCAGAAAAAAAACACGGCGCAGACTCATTGTAGATGAAAGTCTTTATTTCAGGCCCCTTAATGCGAAAGTATGAAATGATGAGACCTAGCAATCGTCTAGATTACTGGGGTACGGGTATGAATCATTCATTGACGAGCACCATGCGCTACCATGGTTCTTAAAAGAGAGAGCGGGGGAACTTTTTGTCTTGCACAACAACCGTCCATTTATAGATTGGTGGTACATAGAAGGAACTGCGGCCATTATTGTCAGTGGATTAGGTCGTCACGTTCTAATTACCGTCTGATTCATGGAAGCTCATTTTCAGTGTGCTGATCCTGAAGACCCTGGTAAAAATCAATGTTGCAACGGCAAACGTCAGATTCAAGTTCAGAAATTCTTCAATTTGAAAATAAGTACTAAATGAAAGCAGTCCAAAACAATTCTAATGGATAAAACCGGTGTGGAACTACTATTTGTGTAGATATAATGAACAACTAACAACAAGAAAAAGGAAACCTTGGTCACGAGGTACAAATTCACGTTTGCAGTTTGCCGTGGCGTGTTACTTTCAATTATAGCGTAATATACAAATTGTAAAACTACCTGGCGTTACTATCATTTGTTCCACCATAATTTTTTTAATTAAACAAGAATTCTAACTCAACAACATACTATAACAAGCTGCTTTAGTTTTGGAAAGCTTTTAAAATTGCTTTGCTATGTACCCCCCATTTATCAGACTCCAAAATTTTTTCACAATCCGAACTTTTTTATCTAGATCCTCATCCCTGGAATCCTCAAATAAAAACTGAGAATCTAGCTAAGAGAACTACCCATCCCCACACCTAACGCAAAAAAATTCAAGATACCGTCAATTCCTCTTTAAGCGAAGTCACTATTTCGCTAAATGAAGGGCGTGCTGAGGGCTCTGGATGCCAACACGAGGTCATTATCTCAAAGCTGTTGAAGCAAAAAACATGTGCTTAGTGACTCATTCGAGTCAAAAAGCGACTCAAATGTTTTGTCATGAAACGAAATGTATTGCTAAAAAAGAAAAATACATCTTATCCGGGCAGCCATCAGGTTGTTTCAGTCTCTGTCCTGACTTTAGAAAGTCTACAACTTCCATTCCTCCCAATCCTGAATACGGCATTAAACCTGAATTATAAGGTACGAAAAGAAACTATATTAGACGAGTGATTCCCCATTTCTCTCAAGGATGGTTGTGCATATTCGTGTCCCGAGAAAATCATGTGATTAAAGAACTTACCTCGAGATTCAATTTCCCATAATACTATGCCAAATGACCACCTAAAATAGAAAGCCTTTTTGTCACTCATCTTCATTGACGTTACGTTCGCTAATTTTAAGTGAGGGTTTTTCCATGTTGAAAGTTTAAGTTTGTTGAACTTACACGTCTGTCTTTGTGTTGTAGGTGTAATCTTCTAAGGATTCAAGAGCCATCCAACGTACTGGCAACATACCCTGAAATAATAACAAGAAAAAGGAAACAAGGTAAATGTGTGACCTTGTTTGATCAAATAATTAGCAGCTATAAATAGGGAGGCCGATGAGCCCCGTGAGAGGTAGGGTAGACAATAATTGAAGCCAACAGTGCTCGATTGTGTTGCATGAAAGCACTTTCGACAATTTAGCACCTGACAAAATGTCTTGCGGGGTAACACCCAGATAGTGGGTGAAGAAGTGGCAGACAGAAAAAACAGTTTGTTTTGAAATAGATGGCATTGAGTTGACAATGACTAGAGATTCTGTGGATAAATTAACAGAGAGAAGAGTACTTAAACAGACAACAATTTAATTTTTTCTGTGCTGATATAGACCATAGAAATGACTTCCAATATCAGTCAAATCTTTGCAGAGAAACCACTTGCAGCGATGAAAATGTTATGCGTCCATTACCAGTGAGTTTCCTAGGAAAATGGCGCGCCATATTACCGACAATTGCGACAACATTTCATCGTACGCGTGTCCATGTTCTATACTCACATAAACAGGGCGCGGGAATCGAAATGACGCAGTTATTACCATAACCAATAGTGATACATCTTTGTAACCTATTGCACAAATATGTTTTAATTACGTACCCCAGACAACGTTTCGTATTCACCACTTTCGTATACATCACGTGACAAACCAAAGTCAGATATCATGGCCACGAAATTCTCGTCTAAAAGGACATTTCGAGCTGCAAGGTCACGATGAACGCACTGCAAAGACAAAGCATAAGCTATTCCAGAAGCCGCTTGAAGTCAGTGCATCTATTTATCATGTACTAAATAACTGACCCTTATTTAATTACGAGACTATCTTGAGCTAAGATGTATCCCTAGTACAGTCAACTTCCTTTATAGCGAACACTGTAGGGACTGACCTTGAGTTAGTGTCCTCGTTAGCGAGAATCCGTAATAGTTTATTTCAGTCAAACGTCTGTAATTTATTTTTGCTGCTGTCCGTATTATCGGGGTGTCGGCAAGTAGAGAGTTGTTGACTGCATATAGTATTGCAGCATAACGATGGAATATTGTTAAGAGACTATGCTTACGAGAGATCATAGCTCAGGACGCCTTCGAAAGTCCGGGTCAGTATTAAACGTTTTCATACGCTTGCCCAGCAGTTATGCAGATTTATTGAAACAAAACAAAAATAAACAAAAGGAAAATGTTCAATTTCCACCGGAGTGGTTTGAAACACCAACATGACCACCGTTTTATTCTCGGCTTGCCCTGTCACGTAATGAGAAATAAAAATGCACACCATTCAATACAGAAGGACTAGAATCTGGGAAATGAAAAAAGATAACTATACAACAACCCCTGCCAAGAATCAGGTCTGTGAAATATTTCAAATGCGAGATATTGGGAAAACGGTTTACCTAAATTTATAAAGCTTTGTATGGAAACGCCGTGTTGGTGTCCCTTTCAGGAACACCAATATGGCCGCCGGATACCAACAGAAACATCTATTTTCGAATTTTCCTACTAATGCGTGAATTCTTTGCTTGAGGAACTCATAAAGATTACAGTAATATTTATTCTGAGACAAGGAATGTTTAGATTGCAAAATCTCCCAAAATCGGTAATGTTTTTAACCCACATAAGAGCTTTCCCGGCCGCCAGCTAAATGCTGTGTCACGCAAAAGCCTGGAAATTCAAGCGTCCTCTCTCGCAAAACGAAGAACCCTTTCGAACCAAAAATTTGTTTATGTAAAGGTGTTTAGGTACTATAATGCCTCGTGAAAGTAGAAACTCAGAACAATCGATACTTTCTTAGTCTGATTTTTGGTGACGTCACGTGCAACCCAAGAATTGTTTTAGGATATAGCCCACGTGACGTCATGTGAAAACGGTCTATAGATAATCTTTCGCGCCAAAGACTCTCAGCCAATCATAGCAGAGCATGATTTCAAGCAATGGCTACAGCTGAACTCAGTAGGAATAAATAAATAAATAAATAAATAAAATTTTGAGCTCCTGACCGATATTGAAATCCAATCTACACAGCACTGAAGGTCGAAGAGTCCTTATAATCAATGCCACCAAAACAAAATCGACCCTAACTGTGGCCCTTATTATTTCTTGTTCGTAGAGCTTCTTACCTTTTTGTTTGACAGATGCAGCATTCCATTTGCAATATCTCTTGCGATCCTTGTTCTTTCACTTGTTGTGAAGCTTATTTTCGGTTGGTTTACGTTCACGTAAGGATTTTCTCTGCTCCTCTGTAGATAATTTAACAGGCAGCCATTTTCTGCCAGGCGTACGACAACTAACGTGGGTTCTGTTTCAAAAAGAGTACATTGCTTAATTTTCAAACACGGTATACCATCACAATCCAACTTGGATCAGTATATGATTCTGTTAAACTCCCCACCAACCCCTTCCCTAATCCAACGTTAAAACTTAAAAACTTTACCCTAAGAGCATAGCGTTAGACTTCGGGGTGGGGTAGGTGGGCCAACATTTACTTCTTATCGTGTCACAAGGAAGCCTAAAGAAGACTCATTAATGATGTGCAGATTAAACTACGCATACAGAAATGGAAATATATAAAAAAATGAGATAGTAGAGCTTAAGATATTATTTTAGTCACGTCATATTTCGTGTCGATATAGCCCTATTCTCACAGATTTTCTCTCAGTAACAGTAATTGTCAAGCCCCGTACAAACGGACGCAACATTTTTGGCCAAAAACTCCCATCATTGTTGCCATGTTACATGTTACGTCCGTTTGCACACCCTGTTGCATGTTGGTGCATGTTCTTGCGTGTTGTTTAGAGTTGTTGTGCAGTTTGAAACCGGTCAAACGTTTAGCTACGTGCACTGAAATGGACGCAACAACTCTCAATATTGTTGCGCGACAATGTTGGAAATTGTTACGTCCGTTTGCATGTAACTTAAAAGGAACAGATCACCATAAGCAAGTTTCAAGTTCATGTTTGGCCATGACGAAATTAAGCGTGGCTATATGCTCATAAAACTTGATGACTTTACAACGATGTCCAGGTTTAAAATTAAATTGAGAAATACCTGTCTCTGTACAAGCTGCTATAAGATTTATAACATTGGGATGTTCACCAACTGCAGCCATTATCTGCAGCTCATTCCTAAGGTCACGTTTTTCTTTCTCTGTAGCATTCTCTAAAATTTTAAAAATGCTTTTGCTGTTGTTATGAGTCAGATATTACATAAAGTTTTTAATGCGAAAGAAAATAATATCGCGTTATATTTGCTAAGCAATGATACAAATATCCAAAGTACTGTTAGATCAGATCTATAAGTTATTAGTAAGACATGAAGGAAACTATGTTTTACCATACAGTATAATTGGGTTATGTGACAATATGCTGTTTCCCCAATTGTAAAAAAACAACAACAACAAAAAGTTTACCAGAGATTACCTTTAAGTTTCTTTATAGCATAGTTCCTTAATTTCCCGCTGATCGTGACCTCGCCCTTGAAAACTTCTCCAAATGCCCCTTCACCTAACTTCTCCTTGAACTCGACAGCTGATCTGGGAAGTTCAATCCAATGGCCGCGCTTCCCTAACACAATCTAGAGAAGAAATCTTCGCTTACATTACACTGCTTGTTTGTTCAAAAAGTGGAAGGTTGAGACATTCAAACGCATAAATTGAAATCGATTGTCGCCTATCTAGCCTGCGAATACAGCCGTCTCTCTTAGCTGATCACCATAAAGAAAATGCTTTGACGAACTCCGGAATGAAGAGCAGTCTGGCAAATTTTCATGTGAATGTTGTGGCTTTAAGGGTTAACCTTTGAGCATAACATGGATTGCATTTAAGGCAACTAAACGTTTATCGTCATCCTTCTTACCTTTTCATCTTCTCTCGGTTTTGTTTGGCAACATGGCCGAAAAATCAGGCACACAGTGACGATAAATAAGAAAGCCAAACTCAAAGGAAGCACAATTGTGAGGATCAAGTTCTTAATAAATGCATCTGCAAGTTAAACACAATAATATAGAAACCTGAATTAATCAAGGTTTTTGTCGCATTTTAAGAATTGTTTCTGGTAAATGAAAGAGACACTGTGGAAGTAGTTAAAGAAAGTGTACTACCCATTTAGTACACTGTGTAACGAAAATGGTCTTTGGAGAAAGAAAGTGGACGTATTTGCGGTCCTCGAGGCCACGCTTGTTTAAAAAAATGGCAAACATTTACACCCTACACACACATCTACGCATCTGCACAATCTGAAACTAAATTTTTACTTTTCTGATGAGCGCGCGAGGAAGGAGCTAGCTGGCAACCATCAAAACCCCTTCAGTTTCGCCCTATACAGTGTACACCCGTCCCGTCCCGTCCCCTCAAGGAGGCTGCTGTACTAAGGCTAGTTTCATTAACAATATTTATATTTAAGTAATAGAAAACGTTTTCCGTGCATGTTTGCCTAGCAGGCCTGATATAAACACGAGAGGGGTTGGGAGAAAAGAGTTTTCTATTGCTTTTATAAAATTAATTAACTTTCCCGAGAGAAAACGCGAAACTCTTTGTGATGGCACTGATTAATAGAGAAATTCTTACCAGTCGCGAAGTTTTGCAAGCGTAATTAGTTCGTGTTTTGCAAAAAAAATGCATTCCAAAATACGCATTTGCATAAAATGTCAGCTTAAGCGAAAAAAAAAATTGACACAGCATGTTTGTAAAGATTTTCCAAGTTTCACCCGACAAGGGAATGGGTAAATAAAGTAAACTTGTCGAGTTTTTAACCAAAAAACTTTTTCAAATTTGTGCTTGCGTGATTAGCACGCGAAAAGCAAAACATTTTGACGTCACAACCATGTTTACAAACACAAACACGCCTCTCGGCCAATCAGAGCGCGCGTTCTACGTTAGTTATTTTATAAATACATATCTACAGCACCAAAAGAGCACCTTCTCGTGTGTTTTGCGTCAAGAGTACACCATCGGATGTCCCATATTTGTTGATGCTTGACAATCTGATTATGTATTCAGTGGCTGATTCTAAGTCCTCCATAACCATTCCAGTCTGTGAATAGGGCAAGGCTGCCACCTTGGTGAAGCTTTTGGAGCCTACTTTTCTGTGCTCGACTGAGTAGCTTTGAATCTGGAAATCACTTCCATATTTTGGTTTCTCCCACGTTATTACAATGTAACGTGTCTGTACGTTAATTACCGTTACATTTCCAGGCGGTGGTGGTTTCTCTTATTAAAAATTAAAACAAAAATATGACATTTAGAAAATCAGATAACCGCATACAAAAATATGTTTTCTGAGAATTGAACCTTATATCAGCAACGATAAGGACTTTGTCTCCTTTTTTTTTGGACTTTGTCTTCTTAGAGTCAAACAAGTAACGTACCTGCAACAATAAGAGCGGAGACACCCAAACAGTCTTTAAACGAGGTATCAAATCCTTCTATAAATTGAGTCAAAGCCTCAGCTTTTGAAGTATGTTCATTTACTATGGCTAAAGCCAACATCTGGGCGTTTACGCTTCCACGACTGGTAATTAAGAAGAGAAAATTGATAAATAAGAAACAAAAACAAAAACAACAATTAATCGTAAATAGTAGATGACGTTCATAATTAATCCCGTTTTTGGTCTCTAGTTCGGTCACAGAGAACATGACATAACCCAAACACACCCATCGTATGTGCATAGGACAGTGACAGATTTCTGTTAGTTAAACACTTTTTCGCTTAAGCCGAGCCACTTTCCAAAATCAAAGTCTTTGGCAATAGTTGCCACCATTAATATTTCTAGCCAAACATTTCCAATATATGACACGGTGCTAAGGACGTTTTCTTAGTCTTCGTCCGAAGATGACATGAAGTTAAACTAAACAAGAAAAGCACATGAATGACCCCACAAAAAGCTTTTGGCTGGGGTGAACCTTTAGAACCAGCAACATATATTGACTTGTAAGACTGAGAGCAATACTACCTGAAGCTCAAAACTCTGACTTCGTAAATCTTGAATAAAAAGGATTCATTGAACTGGATATTAATCTGCAACGCAACAGTAGTCTTATTATTCTTATCAAAACAAAAAAAGAAGGAGGATGCGCGCAAGGCCGTTAGGTGTTCATAAAAGCGCACCTAATACCAGGCTAAACGAATGGCGAAATCGCAAATCAACTGCCAAATAACCCTTGCTTACCTTCGAGATAATATTCTTTTCCATCACTATGAACTTTTCGCTACTTCTATTAAGCAGATCACTATGAAAACCAGTGTTGATCACAAGCTCAAAGTTTATATCAACCACAATGCTACCTGAAAAGAGAGAAAAATTATTCAGTCTTAAAAATGGAACTGCAAAATCTTTTACCTATGATCAGAAGCGAAGCTAATGAAAGCATGTATGCGATATCCAAGTCACTCTCCGACGTTTCCTATCTCTAAAAATTGAAAAGCACCTCTCCAGAAACACTACTTGATAATTAGGTTATTCACTTTAAAAACTTAAAGGAGCTGTGTCACGAAATTCAGCCAAATTAGAAAATTACAAAATGCCCGTTAAATTAAGAGAAAGATAAAAATAACCGCTTAAAACTTTAAAGGAAGGTTAATATAACATAACAGAAACAACAGATGCCACGGATGGGCAAAACTGAAGAAGACTGAAACGGATTGAAAACTGTTCAGCCTAACAGTTTTTCAAAGTTGATCCCTGCTGCTTGCAACTTCAAAAATAATGCTCAGGAGACATATTTGTTTGTCTCGGATCTCTGATTTTGTTATTTACGTGTAATTCCTTTGCTTACTTTAAGTTTCATAGCGACTGAGGGCGAGTAATTGGCAAAATTAAACAAAATGAACTGGACTGCCGTGACACAGTCCCTTTAATATCATCAAAGTTCACAGAGTGTACAATGGTAGTATATATAAATTGGGCTACACCCATTCCTCTACTTCAAGAATATTGCAATAACTAATAATTAAAATTAATTACGGAACAATTAATGGAAGAGTGCAGAGTGGGGTTGCATTTACTTACCGTTTTGCAAGGTTTGTACAGTAATGAGGTTTCCAGGTGGTCCGTGACCAACTTCGTTAAAGCCATTTACTTTCATTTCATACGAAGTTCGGAAGTCAAGTCTGCTGATCACAACTTCTGTGCTGTTACTAGTAACATTCTTTTCAGTATATAACTGGGATCCACGGCGTCTGTATCTTATGCGGTATCCCAGGAGCTTTCCATTGTGAGAGGGTGGAGGGATACGTTCCCAGGATATGTGAACGGCAGTTGAGTTAAGAGGATATCCTCTTAGGAAACTCGGGCTATCAGATGGAACTGGTGAATGGAAATTTTCGCAAAAACTCAATTGCACAAAAATGAGAGAAAAAGGGAGGGAGGAAGGGAAGGAGGAAAGGTGGAGGGAAGAAGAAAGAGAGGAGGGAGGAGGGAAGAAGGAAGGAAGGAGGGAACGACGGATGAAGTCTACTGGCAAAGTATATCTTTTGGTGTAACTAATCAAATGTACCTCTTTGGCAGCATGCACATTTAACTGCTCTTTCTTAAGTTGTAAGATTTTGCAAAAACAAAACCTAAAATGTACCTCTTGGAGGGCAGCGGGATATGTTGCAGTACTCCCATCGAACGTTAGGGTCAGTGGTATAGCACCAAGGCCCATCCGGGGCACTAGCATCTGGGTTACGACACATGTTGGAATCATTCTGTCCATCAACAACATCTTCAGGAATCCGCAAATGACGATGAGGGCATTGAGAAATCCACCGCTGACAAGAACGGCCTGAACGAGTTATATTCACTTTACCTCGATATCCAACGCCAATGCCATGGTAACAATCTAAGGATTGCATATTGAACTTAGCAAATACCTCTTTTGACGCAGTAAGAAAATTCAAAAAGTGACATTTCGAGTGTTGGTCCCTCGTCAGACAGAAAAAAGAAAGATCACTTAGGCTAGTGCTTTAGAAGCATGCTAAGAAAAGATTCACAGACCTGTACTTCTGGTTTCGTCACCTTTAAAAAAGGAAAAGAGAACAACTCTTTACGTTAAGACTCTTTCTTTTTCTAAAAAAAAATAAACCAGGCCCCAGTTGTTCAAAAGCTGGATGGCGCTATCCACCTGATAAATCCAGTGGACGTTTCTGGAAAACTGCCCACCTACTCCTCCCCTAAGCCAACATTTTGCCCTAAGTAAGAAGTAAGTGTTAACGTTAGCTTAGGGGAGGGGTAGGTAGGCAGTTTCCCAGAAACGAATAAGGATCTATAAGTATTAGAGAAAACAATTGTACTATTCAAAGTAGACGGACTGAAAATTATAGTAGTTGCTAAAAAATATATCTACGTGTCCCAACTGTTCATCAGTAGGATGCCTAAAATGAGTGCAATTCCACAATTGGTTTCGGCTCCATTAAATTCTATACCAATTGCAGAACATTTTAGGAGGAGCCACGAACCGTATGAGCACAGTCGCGGACAACACCTATAAGTGAGGAAAATAACGCAAAGCAAAACTAAGACGTTATTAAACGAACTAAATGTACACGCGACTTAAATAAATAAATAATGCACGCGCCCAAAATAAATTGGGCGCACACCTACCAATATACAACTGAAATAAAAATCCAAGTAATAAATAAGCAATGTAAGGATACGATGGTGCAATTTAAGCCTGGATTGCTAATCTCATCTCCCGCAGGGCTGCACCATACTTCTCGACGATACGACCATGGCGATTGACGAATTTATTAAATGAATTCTGAAGTCGATTGGTTTCAAAGCCTTATAGGGCTATCAACCTTTTGAACAACTGGAGGCTGAATGCCTCAGGAAATATAACAAGTAATCACCTGGTAATGCATGGTGTTGGTAGCATTCTGGTGCCTCTCCTCCATTGGCAGCAGGGTATGTAGTGCAGTTGATTAGATTTTCGTCAAAATTAGGTTCTCTTTTGGCAATTACTCTCAGGGCATCTAACTCTTTTGCGCACTTTCCATAGATCACAAACTGACAAGTCTTACGACAAATCCCCTGAGCAAGAGGCTTGTTTAGAGAGGTATCACACAACGGAAACAAATAGCGACAGACCACTTCCTTGCTGAAAAATTTGCATTCTCCAGATATTAATTTTAAGTAACCTTCGAACCTTGCAATGAGACTCTCGCTTCTTCTCAAGACACGAGAATCCCCCAAAACATATCGACTACTTATGATGTCTTCACAGGCTCCAGTTATTTTAGGGTAAAAAGAACAGGACATGTCCCTCATGACAGAGCTGACTGAGGGCTCCGCAGGAATACAGCTGGAAAAAAAAGGCATTTTTGAGCAGCTTGTTCTACCTTTGGTTGCTCATCCATCTGGGTTTATGTTACTGTCACGGTACGTATTTACTGGAAATAAATACAATGTTATTTTGAGGCAAACATTTGAACAACGAAATTAAGAGTCCCCTTCAAACAAACGTTCCCACCCAACCCGTCGAATAAACCCAACTCAAAATGGTAAATAAGCGCCCCGGGCATCAATTCAAGTATCTGCTGTAACTGTGGACAAGAAGTTCTTCTGACACAACCACACGTTCTGCTAAGACTAACCTGGAGTTTGTTTCTTGTGAAATCGAGACGTTCTGTGATGCTGAAACAAGGATTAAGACAAGCAATCATTAATTTAAGTGAGGATTAAACAAAGAACAAAGGAAAAACCTGGCTTGTAGGGAAGATTCGTGTTTTTAATCAACTTTTTACTTATTTCAATAAACCAGTCACTGAAACAAAAAAACACTTTGTACAAGAGCAAATAAGCCTCTTGTTGACACAAAGCGGCAGGTTTGAATCGCTATATGGCTACTACGAAGTCAGTCTAACCTAAAGTCGTTTAATTTCACACTAATTCTAGCATTTTGAAAATGGATCTTATTCTACAACTCTCCCTAGCTTGTTCTGAGCCCACGAGAGTTAGCATTCTCCCCATCAACCCGCTAATGTAACAGGTGAGCACCCTGGTACGGTTCACATGCATTTGCAGAGAAGAATCTCTTTCACCCTTTAAGCCCTAAGAGTGATCAGCATCAAACTTCTCCTTGTAATATCAATCCTTTGTAAAACAGAGTGGTCATGAGAATTACGGACATGATCAAAGAAGAGGAATTTGCTTGATATTTTATCAACTTCTCCCCACTACTTCTGTAGGAAATGAATAGGGGCAACAAATGAGAATTCAAATTTGGATCTTAGGGTTTAAAGGGTTAATTGTAAGCGCCTACAAAGTAACGCGCCTTTGCGCAACTTTTGTCCACACATTACGGATCGTAAAGCGGGATATCGGTAGATATCAAGTTCGTAAACAGATACGTGCTAAAGCGCGTTCACACGAATTTCGTCCCACACATGACAGAGTGTAAAGTGGGATATCTTCGGATTTCCGCAGCGGTAAACGCATACCAGCTAAAGCCGGTTCAAACGGCTTTGATGCAAACATGACTGTTCTAAACGGGATATCAAATACATTAAATCATATAAACTAAAGCGCGTTTTTTAGCTTTTGTCCACACATGACTGTTCTTAAACAGATACCATCAGATATGAAGTTCAGTCGTAAACGCATGCGAACAAACTGCGCCTCCAAACGACTTTGTCCACACATGAGAGAACGTAAACCGGGAAATCTTCGGATATCAAGTTCGTAGACACATACGAGCTAAAGCGAGTTAACACCGCTTTTGTCCAACACATGACAAATCGTAAAACGGGATATGATTAGATATCCGAAGTTCGTTATATTAAACGCATACGAGCTAAAGCGCGTTCACATGGCTTTCGTCCCACACATGACAAATCTTAAACGGAATGAACGGATATCAAGTTCGTAAACGCATACAAACTAAAGCGTGTTTACGCGACTTACGTCCAATCGATCGTAAACAGGGACATCGTGGGATATTAAGTTCGTTAACGCATACGAGTTTTACATGACAGATCGTAAACGGAAATCATCGTAAACAGTCTAAAGAGCAGACTTCATCCTCCCAGTGACGAAAAGTTAAGAACGTCTAGCCAAAATGCACTTTTGAAAACGAACAATTTTATCCTTCTCGCGTCAACGACCCTCAATACACTCTGTATGTTTGCGTGGTTTACAAACAGAAATTGCAGCATAAGAGTCATAGGGAAATTATATATAAATACGACACGCCTGACTTCCTTCTTCTTTCTGAACCATTTTAATTTTTTTAAAAAAATAAATGCAACCGCAACTTAAACAGTTTCATCATTTTGTCGCCATATAAAAACATGGCTAACTGTCTGGCAAAAATAGCTCTTTGGATCTCACAAACTATGTCCAAACATTTCCGTACGTCCGGTTTGACCAAGGTAAAGGTTTTTTCGCCCGGAGTTTGCGTGACGTTTGTTACAATGGATGAGTGATAAACGACACGACTTCCTCCTCATTGAGGAATTCATGTGAAACGCATGTTTTTTCGTAGATTTACAATCGTGCATGAGCAGTTATTCTGGATAGCAAAATAGGTACCTTTACTGCGCTCATATCATTATACCAATAAGTTCCAAACTTACCACAGAAAGACAAGGTTACAACGTACAGGGCAGCGAGAACATGAAGGTCAGCAGTCGACTGGATAGACATTTTCGTCAAGGCAACATCAAATCACAAACCCGCCTCGCGCGGAACATTAACACTGCAAAGCGAAGTTAAAAGACCTCTGCTGTTAAGTTCATAACGTTATAAGTAACATTCGATAAGTCATCATGGGGTGCGATCCGTTTTTTTCGCTTTCCATGATTCAAAAGACCCTTTATCATCACGCATCCGTGGTTCAACTGAATTCCCTAGAAAAATTTACCTTAACATCGAATATCACTGAAACCCAATGATTTCATTCAGTAACTGTAACCTTGGTTGGTTCTTGAAAGCGCGTAATTTAGTCGACTTTATCGTACTGTGAGTGTGGGAAACGCTTGCCTCCAGGAATCGATTCCCCACAAATGTCACAAAGGAAAAGGAATAATTCAAGACAAATTATACTCACAGGTCCACTGATAGGTTTAATTGCTTGGAATCACTCTCAAAGGTTCAAACTCAACAGGTCACAGCTCTCGCTATCTCACGACTGGTTTACAGGGTCAACAACGACAACAACTCAACGACTCCACTTAAAATCACAAGCGCTTATCGTTACGATACTGAACATTGCATGCAAATGACCCACGGGTAAATTTCCGGTCCTTTGACACATATCATTCACGGCTATTTAACAAAATCACTTATCGAACTAATTTGATCCAACACGTGGGTTTTCTGTCATCAACTCAAGTCTGCACAATCACGCAATCACAAATACTAGCCTCAGTCTCCGACATGAGTAGCCTGCGTATCAAGCGTTTCCTCGCGAAAAAAAAAAGGGAATGACAAGGGAGGGGAAGGGGAATGAAAGAACGCTTGCCCGCAAACCCCACGATTTTGAAAAACTGCGATCGCCCACGAACGCAGCTTCCGATTGGCGCGGTGCTGGTAGTGTTGATTACTTAGCACTCGAAACATCAATCAAATCAGGTATGCTTTGTTTACGTGCGTCACAGATCCGGTGTTTCATCTGATTTGTGGTCGCAGATTACAAAATAATGCTTTGGACTGATGTTTATTGGAATCGTGTTTGTGCGAAGGTTTATAAGATTAAAGTCTTCAAAGTATAGATAGATAGATAGATAGATAGATAGATAGATAGATAGATAGATAGATAGATAGATAGATAGATAGATAGATAGATAGCTAGCTAGCTAGCTAGCTAGCTAGCTAGTCCGTAATCTAGCTAGCTAGTCCGTAATCCAGCCCTTGGGCTGCGATGGATTTTTAATAAAGCTAGCTAGCTAGCTAGCTTTATTAAAAATCCATCGCAGCCCAAGGGCTGGATTACGGACTAGCTAGCTTTATTAAAAATCCATCGCAGCCCAAGGGCTGGATTACGGACTGTACAATACGTTGAATACTAAGACTAACTATTATAAATCAATAACAGTAAATAAATAAAACAAAGGAACAAAGATACTAAGTCATGAAATTTAAGAAAATAGCCGCGAATTTACAATAAAACCATTAGAAAATAGCCGCGTTATGCATGATAAAACTATTCATTAGTCTATTTGTTCTACAAAGAGGCACGTTAAAAGCGCGCTTTCTCCTTAAGGCTACAGTACTAAGATTACGTGGCGGCAAAAGGCCATGTAATTTGTGGAGGCTGTTGTCCTTAATCTCATTGAATAGGCGCTCTGTCAGCCATTGGCGCCGTTGATGGAGGGTGGTAATATTGCACTCTTTGAGAGCCTTTTGATAGCCTAAATCTGGGAAAATAATTCTGAGTGCACGGCGCTGAATTTTCTCTAGCTCTTCAGAGAGATACTCAGGCAGACCATTGTGGAAAACTTGGCAGGCATATTCAGACATAGGCCGGATACACGTAGTATAGAAACAAAGTAGCTGCGCAGGATCTCCTTTTGCACGCTTAAGCTGCCTTAATAGATATAGCCTAGAGGCTCCTTTTTTGATAATAGTATAATTGGAGATCTAGCAGTGGAGACTAGGGAAGGCCAATTTATTGGGAATGACGGCGTGCGGATCTGACTGGAAAAAATGGACTTTTTGTTAGAGATAACATCAACGTAAATCAGAACATCGTACTCGACACTAGGTAGAGCCGCCTTGGACAAGCGATTTATCAGCTTTTTGATATGGAAAGATTATTTTTGTTTATTGGAAATTTAGCGGCATTGGCGGCATGTATCGTAGAGAACGTTTCGACACTGGCTGAAGAGCAGCCGCTCTGCAAACCTTATAGCCGGCGGAGTGAATTGTTCCGGACAAATCATTTTTGACGTTGCGACAAGGTTTCAGACGAGATAAAGGCTCATAAAGCCACACAATAAAAAACAAGAAATTCCGAAGCAATCGATCAGAGTTTTAACCTTCTTTTATCCTAAACGGTTAACCTTTTTTTATTACAGTTTTTGTAATCGCCTGGAACATGTTCTATTATAGAACAAAGTAATTTTACAAATCTGGTATAAATCCAGGGGAAACCTGTTAGTTATACTTCTATTTTGACGAGCTGTCAATTTACAAATCACCCGAACCGTGAAATATCAAGGGGCGTTTTCCAGAATCGTGGGGTTTGCGGGCAAGCGTTTCCTCTTCTCCCCTTCCCCTCCCCGTTCCACCTTTTTTTTTTTTGCTCCCGCTCTAACTTTCGCGCGATAACTCGATTGGAAACGCTTGCTACGCAGGCTATGCTGTGAGAAAAATCGTTGTTGATCACATTAGCGTGACAGACTACCTCAAGAAACTACACCGTGACATTATTGTTGTATGCGTGACTTTTTTATTACCATTTATCCTCGTTTTCATGAACACCTCCGTCATATCCAGCTCCCATGGAAAGGAAGAAGCCGTTCACTCTAAACTGTGTAAATCTGGTAAATGACGTCCATTGAGGTGTATCAAGGGCGACTGTCGCCATTGATTTTTAACTGATGAAAACAAACAAACAAACAAACTTACGATTGATTGAGTGACCTAAAATTGTACCGTTAGTTCTTGCCTCAGGCAAACTCTTTCCGTACCGCCTAATGATTTTTGAGAGCTAATACTTCAGATAAAAAACATTAAAAGACGAAATGAAAATGGGCCACTTGCACTAAGAGGTCACGTGACCATTGCTTCCTTTAAACAATGAGTTGGAATCTCGCTGATGCCAAAAATTGACAGAGCACATAAAAATTATCTTACACCCGCAGTTTGAAAGGAAATGCATTTAAGGGAGATATTTTATGGGACTTTGATTTTTCAACAAAGCAGTATGATTTGTAGTGGCCGCCATGTTGGAGGGCATACTCTTGCCCTCCAACATGGCGGCCAAAACTACTTTTTGCTTATATCTTGTTAAACGTTTGATAGTTACGCTCAGATGTGCTGTAAACGTTACCACATCATCTTTTCAACATTTCCCTTGATTTTTAAGTGCAAAATTTGTGTTCTGAAAGATGTAATTCCTAATTTCAAAAACCACATTTTGGTCACATGACCGGCTATGAACTTACTCATTTTAAGAAAACGGTGCGGGTTTGAAAAACCAAATCACTATTCTTTTGTTTAAGATATGACCCACTAATCGTTTTTCGAAGGCAAAATCATATAACTTTCATTTTCATAAAAACGATGTCACATGACCTCTTAGTGCAAATGGCCTATTTGAAAGACTGACACGATGGTAGCAATTTTTTTCCGCGATATGTATGAACTTGGGGCTGCATTCAATGTCTTGTGGCAGTCGGAAGACAATTTGAAGTGAGTTATATTGCCACGTTTCGATACCTTCGTTGCCCTAGACAAGCTTAGCTTTAGACAGCAGAGAGACTGAACCCCTTCGGTTCGTTCCACCTACGGCCTCCATCCTGTAGCCTGCCAGTGTGTCAAAAATATCGATAATCAAATAAAATTTGTGTTGAAAGCTGGAACAACACAATACCACTTGGCGAAGTTCGCTTCTGTCTAATGTTCTCAATACTGACTCAAAACCAAGTAGGTCAAGTAGTTGTTAGATATGAAAGCTACAATAGCCACAAAAGCATTTAAATTGTGCAATAGAGCGAATTTTCTCTGAAATCGTCGTTGCGTTCTTAAGGGCCGGTCTAAAGGACTTTCCAAACTTGTTATCAAGGCCTTTCTCTGTATAATGCATTATTAAACGTTTTTTTCTACTTGAAATTCCATACAATCCGGAAATATTCACCTCTTAAAGCCTGAAGATTGTGTTCGTGAAAGAATATCCGTTATATCCGATGACGAAAATTATACTCCCGATTGTTGATAATGACAATTATCAATGCTGGAAATAACTTTTAAGAAAGGTTAATACCCCTGAATTTCGATTAATTTCAGCCCCGGTGGAGCTTACCTGTTAAAAATATGGCTTAGGGGTAAAAAATATGGCTTGTGGTGGTCTATGTAAGAGAGATGGGGTTCTCAAAGTAGCATAATGGCTTTAGCGGATCCACAGCTCAAACAACGTGTCTATACGCATGATCCGGAAACTCTGGAAATTTACAAACCTAATTTTCAAGAAGCACAATATATAGGTTCGATATGGGTAATTCATTACAATATATTGCTTGAACGCGAGTTATATTTCCTTTAGAGTTCACGTATCCTGATTCTATGTAAATCCAGTCACCTAGCTACATCCTCTACGTTCTCTCACGAAAAAGAAGTCAGCAAAGTATTATCAGTGAGTACCAAAGAGATGTTAAGTGCACGGATTTGTTCACCTGCAAATCTACCTGCCACAAAAACCCACAAGATTTGTTTTCTTTGTTTGTTTACGTGACGGTGGTTTATAAAACATTTATGGCAGACCGCGGTGCGGTTTTCACCCAGGCAATCTAAAAACAAAGCTTTGTACCTTTGTCAAATAATGAACTTACCATACGTATATATAGAGAATATTACACGGTGGTGAGAAGATATGAATTTTATGTTCGAGTGGCAAGAACAATATCTCACGAGTGAGCGCAGCGAACGAGTGAGATATTGCTCTTGCCACGAGAACATAAAATTCATATCTTCGAGCTTACGTGTAATATTCTTTTTATTATATAAACATACTGAAGACGGCGTTTTTGATGATTTTCCGAAGATTTCGGACCACCTTCCGAAGATTTCCGAAGATTTTTCAAATTGTCCCGAAGACCAGACGAACGTTCCCGAACATTTTCCGAAAATTTCCGAAAATTTCCGAAGATGTCCGAAGATTTCCGAAGATTGCCGAGCACTTTCGAGGAAGACCCGAAGATGTTTCGATGATACACCAACGAATTTAAGTACAATTTAAGAGAGAAACCTGATGTCAGTGAAATAATCGATATCTTCACATGTTAAAATATCGTATTTTTACGTGTGTTCAGATACCACATTTCTCGGTAGAAATCCTTGTAAAACACTGCAGTTTATATAATAAAAAGCTTTATTATCAATTTATTATCAATATCAATTTTTTTTTTTTACAGGTCGCCTGACCCTGAGGAATATTTGCTTTGTGCCTAATTACCTTGGAAAATTGTGAAAAACAGCCTTCCTGTCCCGTGCTGTTTGGTCTAGCGTTTTGGTCTAGAGCACTCAACAAGGTTTCGTTTTTCAGTGTTATGATGAAAGAGAGTTTCTACAAGTTTAGTTAGTAGGCTACAGGGAAGTTATAAACATAAGTTGTATGAACACAGTTTGATTAGCTACAAAACATTGGATGTGAGTTATATCATAGTAAGCTACCCAGGTGGGTTCTCATTTCCTTTGATCAGCTCAGCCCATCCCAGCCTAGTACTCCGGGGAGGAGCGTTGCGTGACGACACTAAAAACGGCTGTGTAGCAGACTAAGCTTCAGGGGCACCCAACGGCAATTTTCGGGAAAATATCTGTTCGGAAGACGATTTGAGAACTAGAATTTTCGGAACACTTGCCTGCCTCTCCTGGGATTTTCGAACATCTACAAAATGGTATAATTACCCATTTTGAACGGATTTTGACCCCAAAAAAGGCCACCTAGAATTTTCGAGAGCCTTTTCCTGGCTAAAATTTTCGAGAAGGTAAGGTTTTATTCCTATAATTTTCGGATCACTAGACTTTCAGCTAGGAAATCCGAACAGACGAAAAGTTTTTAGGGGATAAAAATATGCCTATATCTACCGTTTGAATACTAAAATACGTTCAACAATGCTATGTTAAGTGGTTTTGAACTATATCCTCGTTGGGTGCCCCAAATTTTTGACATGGTATTTCGGTATTTGCCAATTTTTCGTACGGTATTACGGTATTGGGTACCCCCCAATGTTCCCCTCAATATCAAACACTGAGCTGTTTGGTACGTTCAGAAAAAAACACGACGCAGACTCATTGTACATGGAAGTCTTTATTTCAGCCCCTCAAAGCAAAAACGTATAATATGATGAGAGCTAGCAATCGTCTAGATCACTGGGGTACGGGTATGAATCATTCATTGACCAGCACCGTGCGCTACCACGGTTCTTAAAAGAGAGAGCGGGGGAACTTTTTGTCTTGCACAACAACCGTCCGTTTATAGATTGGTGGTACATAGAAGGAACTGCGGCCATTCTTGTCAGTGGATTAGGTCGTCACGTTCTAATTACAGTCTGATTCATGGAAGCTCATTTTCAGTGTGCTGATCCTGAAGACCCTGGTAAAATACAATGTTACAACGGAAAACGTCAGATTCAAGTTGAGAAATTCTTCAATTTGAAATTAAGTACTAAATAAAAACAGTCCAAAACAATTCTTATGGATAAAACTGGTGTGGACCTAATATTTGTGTAGATATAATGAACAGCTAACAACAAGAAAAGGGAAACCTTTGTCACGAGGTACAAATTCACGTTTGCCGTTTGCCGTAGCGTGTTACTTTCAATTATAGCGTAATATACAAACTGTAAAACTACCTGGCGTTACTATCATTTGTTTCACCATTATTTTTTTTTATTAAACAAGAATTCTAACTCAACAACATACTATAACAAGCTGCTTTAGTTTTGGAAAGCTTTTAAAATTGCTTCGCTATGTTCGCTGCCATTTATCATACTCCAAAATTTGTCACAATCCGAACTTTTTTATCTAGATCCTCATCCCTGGAATCTTCAAATAAAAACTGAGAATCTAGCTAAGGAAACTACCCATCCCCACACCTAACGCAAAAAAATTCAAGATACCGTCAATTCCTCTTCAAGCGAAGTCACTATTTCGCTAAATGAAGGGCGTGCTGAGGGCTCTGGATGCCAACACGAGGTCATTATCTCAAAGCTGTTGAAGCAAAAAACACGTGCTTAGTGACTCTTTCGAGTCAAAAAGTGACTCAAATCTTTTGTCATGAAACGAAATGAATTGCTAAAAAAAAAATACATCTTATCCGGGCAGCCATCAGGTTGTTTCAGTCTCTGTCCTGACTTGAGAAAGTCTACAACTTCCATTCCTCCCAATCCTGAATACGGCATTAAACCTAAATTATAAGGTACGAAAAGAAACTATATTAGACGAGTGATTCCCCATTTCTCTCAAGGATGGTTGTGCATATTCGTGTCCCGAGAAAATCCTGTGATTAAAGAACTTACCTCGAGATTCAATTTCCCATAATACTATGCCAAATGACCACCTAAAATAGAAAGCCTTTTTGTCACTCAAATAAATTCTTCATTGAAGTCACGTTCGCTAATTTAAAGTGAGGGTTTTTCCATGTTGAAAGTTTAAGTTTGTTGAACTTACACGTCTGTCTTTGTGTTGTACGTGTAATCTTCTAAGGATTCAAGAGCCATCCAACGTACTGGCAACATACCCTGAAATAATAACAAGAAAAAGGAAACAAGGTAAATGTGTGATCTTGTTTGATCAAATAATTAGCAGCTATAAATAGGGAGTCCGATGAGCCCCGTGAGAGGTAGGGTAGACAATAATTGAAGCCAACAGTGCTCGATTGTGTTGCATGAATGCACTTTCGACAATTTAGCACCTGACAAAATGTCTTGACGGTTAACACCCAGATAATGGGTGAAAAATTGGCAGAAAAAAGACAGTTTTTTTTTAAATAGACACCTCTAGGATGGCATTGAGTTGACAGTGACTAGAGATTCTGTGGATAAATTAACAGAGAGAAGAGTACTTAGAAAGACAACAATTTGCTTTTTTCTGTACGGATATAGACCATAGAAATGACTCCCAATATCAGTCAAATCTTTTCAGAGAAACCACTTGCTGCAATGAAAATGTTATGCGTCCATTTCCAGTGAGTTTCCTAGGAAAATGGCGCGCCATATTACCGACAATTGCGACAACATTTCATCGTACGCGTGTCCATGCTCTATACTCACAGAAACAGGGCGCGGGAATCGAAGTGACTCAGTTATTGCCATAACCAATAGTGATACATCTTTGTAACCTATTGCGCAAATATGTTTTAATTACGTACCCCCGACAACGTTTCGTATTCACCACTTTCGTATACATCACGTGACAAACCAAAGTCAGATATCATGGCCACGAAATTCTCGTCGAAAAGGACATTTCGAGCTGCAAGGTCACGATGAACGCACTGCAAAGACAAAGCATAAACCATTCCAGAAGCCGCTTGAAATCAGTGCATCCATTTCTCATGTACTAAATAACTGACCCTAATTTACGAGACTAATCTTGATCTAAGATGTATCCCTATAGCGGACACTTAAGGGACTGACCTCGAGTCAGTGTCCTCGTCATCGAGAGTCGGTAATAGTGGGACTTTATTTCAGTCAAATGTCTGTAATATATTTTTGCTGCTGTCCGTATTATTGGGTATCGGCATGTAGGGAGTTGTTGACTGCATATAGTATTGCAGCATGACGGCGGGATATTGTTCAGACACTATGCTTACGAGAGATCTTAGCTCAGAACGCCTTCGAAAGTCCGGATCAGTATTAAACGTTTTCATTCGCTTGCCCAGCAGTTATGCAGATTTATTGAAATTAAAAAAAAATACAAAAGAAAAAGGTTCAATTTCCACCGGGGGAGGGGGGGGGGGGTTAAAAACCTACATGACCACCGTTTTATTGTTTTAGGACATGGCCCACGTGACATCATGTGAAAACGGTCTATAGATAATCTTTCGCGCCAAAGACTCTCAGCCAATCATAGCAGAGCATGATTTCAAGCAATGGCTACAGCTGAACTCAGTAGGAATAAATAAATAAATAAATAAAATTTTGAACTCCTGACCGATATTGAAATCCAATCTAGAAAGCACTGAAGGTCGAAGAGTCCTTATCATCAATGCCACCAAAACAAAATCGACCCTAACTGCAGCCCTTATTATTTATCTTGTTCGTAGAGCTTCTTACCTTTTTGTTTGACAGATGTAGCATTCCATTTGCAATATCTCTTGCGATCCTTGTTCTTTCACTTGTTGTGAAGCTTAGTTTCGGTTGGTTTACGTTCACGTAAGGATTTTCTGTGCTCCTATGTAGATAATTTAACAGGCAGCCATTTTCTGCCAGGCGTACGACAACTAACGTGGGTTCTGTTTGAAAAAGAGTACATTGCTTAATTTTTAAACACGGTATACCATCACAATCCAACTTGGATCAGTATATGATTCCGTTAAACTCCCCACCTACCCCTCCCCTAATCCAACGTTAAAACCTAAAAACTTTTCCCTGAGAGCATAGTGTTCGACTTCCGGGTGGGGTAGGTGGGCCCACATTACTACTTATCGTGTCACAGGGAAGCCTAAAGAAGACTCATTAATGATGTGCAGATAAACTACGCATACAGAAATAAGATAGTACACCTAAAGATATTATTTTAGTCACATCATACTTCGTGTCGATATAGCCCTATTCTCACAGATTTTCTTTCACTAACAGTATTGTCAAGCCCCGTGCAAACGGACGCAACATTTTTGGCCAGAAAATCCCATCATTGTTGCCACGTTACATGTTACGTCTGTTTGCACACGCTGTTGCATGTTGCTGCATGTTCTTGCGTGTTGTTTAGAGTTGTTGTGCAGTTCAAAACCGGTCAAACTTTTAGCCACGTGCACTGAAATGGACGCAACAACTCTCTATATTGTTGGGCGACAATCGTTACGTCTGTTTGCATGTAGCTTAGAAGGAACAGATCACCATAAGCAAGTTTTAAGTGCATGTTTGGCCATGACGAAATTAAGCGTGGCTATATGCTCATAAAACTTGATGAATTTACAACGATGTCCAGGTTTAAAATTAAATTGAAAAATACCTGTCTCTGTACAAGCTGCTATGAGATTTATAACATTGGGATGTTCACCAACTGTAGCCATGATCTCCAGCTCATTCCTCAGGTCACGTTTTTCTT